CCCCATCCCACGATGGCGGGCGTATACCGTGCCATTTTCGCCCTTGCTGCCCTCGATACTCTAGCTTGATAAAGAGGCGTCTTTTGCTCGTGATCCTACTTACAAGAGGGCTTCCTTGGTCCAGGATGAGGTCACCAGAAGCTTCCTACTGGCCAGCGAACACCTAAGGGTACCATTGCGCCGGTATCCCTCCATCAGGAAGTGATATCCGGCCCGACAGTAGTGCAGCCCGGAAAACCGCCCTGCGAGAAAAAGCCAAGAGACATACTAGCAACAAGATGTTTGAATATCCCTTGTCATGGCAGCGGCAGCACCTCGTCAAGGCATCGTCATGGAGTCAGCATGGCAGGCCTCTTCAGCCCTCTTTGAGTTGGGACACACGTCAAGCGTGGCTTTGCTCTTATTCAAACAAAGTCCGCTTAGTGAGGGGGGGACTATTTGGAGCTTCTTCTGAAGTCATCGAGGCCTTTTGGCAAACACACGCAACGGCCAAGAAGAGGCTTGGCTTTCGGTTATCAGCGAGACCATGCTTGTTTCCTTGGCGGAACTGGTATGGAGTGATTTGCGCCGTATCTGGCCTGTCTTTCGGCTGCCTGGCAGCGTGCCTACATACCATGCATTCTCTTTCACGCCATTCAATGCCATGAACCTTGAACTCAAACCGTTGATATCACTCGGCACCCAGTGCAGTGTATGGCGATTCCTATTCCAGATCCGTCCTCACATCCAATGCATGTGGTCTGCTCATCTACCATGTGCATGTACATACATACAAGTACATACACGCAACGGAGGTACACAATGACGAGCACCTCTGCCTTTTCCGAACATACGACGGACCAATCGAGTGAAATGCTCGAATTTCCCTGACGTCTTTGCGGCTGGACGATCCCCATCCGACGGCTACGCTACGGCGGCAGCTTGTGCCCTCTTTTTGCTGCGGCTCCCGTTTATTAACCTACTCCAGCAAGTCCAGCTACATGCACCTCAATTACACGCAACGAGCGCCGCCCAGACCGCCAAGTCAGGCAATCAACAGACCACTCATCATGAAGCAGACAAGCGTGCATGATTCAAAAACTCCATAGCAACTCCATAATACTTACGACAGCAAGCAAGCAAGCAAGCAAGACAAGAGAAAGGGTAAGTAGGAAAATTTTTCTTGTGCTCATTCCCCTTCCGGGGTCCCGCTACGGAGCAAAGCCTCTCACCTTCATTTCAATTCATTCAAATTTCCGCCGTAGGGTCGTTGTAGATGACTGCTCCGTACTGCCGACTAATACTATAAGGTAGTACATGGAGTATAGTAAACAACCTGGACCTACCTCCCTAGTAGCTGACAAGCTCTCAGAGGAGGGTCTGAAGTTGAGGGACCAGGTCAGCTTTTGCTGGGGGGGTTTTTTTTTTCTCATAGCGTTCCATTTGCCTTCTTTTTTTCTTGTTTCCTTGTTGTTCTGTTTGTTCCTCCGTCTGCCTGCCTTGCCGTTATTCCAGCTTGTCGATCCACTATTTGACTGATCACTGGCCGGGGGGATGAACAAGGAGGAGCACAGACGCCTTATTCTACCACCAAAGTACTACGTACGAATACCACGCATGCAAACGGCACGAAAAGTCGTGTGTACCTAGTACATTCATGCGACCCTGTCCCGTCGCGCGTTGATAGTTGTAGACCAAGACGCTTTGTAGGTAGTGGCGATGGAATTCCGCACGACTATGTTCAGCAGACCGCCTCGGGAGCGAGTGACCATTGGTGCAAATACGTTCTGGCCATTGAGGATTTCGCGCTTGTTGCTCGCATTGATAAACGTACCTAAGGTAAGCTAAAAAGGTGAGCCGTGGAAGCTTCTTTTTTGGCAGGGCCAATGCCTTCCATGCCGTATAGGTACCTAAGGTACTTGGCTGCCGTCTCTCCTGCAAGGCGGTTTCGTCTGATGAGATGCAACATCCAGCCCGTCTTTTCTCCAGGTCTCACCTTTTTTTCCCGCAAAGAAAAAAAAAAAAAAAAATGTCCCGGAAGTGCCCTGGGCATTGGCCACCCTCTCCCTTGCCTTGCCGCTATCTTTTTACGTTATTGTTCCCTTTTTCCTCAGTACATGTGTACGAAGTACTGTCGTGCCGTACAATGTACGTCGACACTCCGTACCTTATGAGTACGAGTTACAGCTACCTAGTACATGCAAAGTTCAGACCAACCTGCATCAACACCAACCTCTCCCCAACCTGGCCATTTCTTTAATGCTTCTCTTTTCTCTTCCGTTTGACAGACTCAAAACCATTACTAGCGTCAATGTACCGACTCAAGTACACAATACCTACCCAAGGGCTCTCTCCAACGTGCAAATTCCTTTTCTGCTCCAACACTCACCGCATCATTTCCCGGAGCAAGCATTAGACTGGCCCCCATGTACATGCTCCGTAGGTACCTTTGGAGACCCCCCTGGCATTTTGCCCCAAATAAAAAGAAGGAATGGAAAATTAGAAGGTCAGCGTCGATCCAATCTCGCGCAGAGGCGGCTGCTCATGTGAGAGGCGAAAAGTCGGGGAGGGTTTTTTTTCCCTTTCCCATGCTTTTCCCGGCAATGGTCTCTCGCCTTCGGTGATTGTATCCGAGATGGTCGTATGGAAGGCCACTCGTCTGGTGGTGATAGTGCTGCCGTTACGCGCCTGTACACGCAATAGATAATAAAAAGAAAGGGAAAAGAGAAAGGAAAAAGAAAAGAAAAAAAGAAAACAAGCATCTTTTTTTGACAGGTCTCATGCGAGGTGACCTGTAAGAAATGTCTCTCTTATTTTCTTTGCTTTTTTTTCTTCTCTGGTGGCACCTACATGCTGTCGTGCACACAAGACTCCTCCATTGAACATTTGCCTCTCCTTTTCTTTTTCTTTTACGTGTGTCATTATTGACTGCGAGTGCAAGAACAACGCCTTATTCAGACATGGGCCGTCTTGTTTCCCCCTTCCTTTTGTCTCACCCAGCTGAGTGGTTCGGGACAAAGTATTGGACTGCATGATTCAGTTTTTTTCGCCCAGACAGTTTGAATTCCCTTCGGGTAATTTCTCTCTTCCCCAGTGCTTCTTCATCTTGTGGTCTCGGGATCTTGGGGATTGCGATGTGCCTGCCTTCTTACTGCTTTGAACTGCTCTGCTTGGATGCGCGCTGCATGCAAGGTCAAGGTCAAGGCCGCGAGGAGAGCTGACCGACTGACTGGGCTGCGGCTAATCATCAGGTACCTGTGGGTACACCGGTAGGACTGGATATTTAGGTACAGCCCTGGTATCGGGTGTTGGTTACCAGGTTGTGGTTTCGGGTCCCTTGCTTCCGAATTCGAATGGATGCTTTACCGAATGTTTGGTGACTTTGACACTGTCTGATCACCTTGGAAGCACATCAAGACCTGATATTGATCATTGCCCTCACCGTCTCTTGACTATCGGTGCCTCGGGTACACTAACAAGTTCACTATACGATACATATACCACTTCCGTATCTCGAAACCTGTATCTTGTACAGTCCTGAGAGAAGATACCTTACGCTTCAGATCATCCGTACTGGGCATACAGTATGAAACCGGATCCCCAGGTGCCTGCAGACCACTCAACGTGCAGCCGGTGTGAAGCGAAGTGGTTTCTTCCCCAGGTGTTGTTGGGCTGCCAGTCCAGTTTCAGCTTCTGCTCCCGCATCATTTAGCCGGCGCAACCCGGGGCAGGCTCAGGCCCTCCAGAAGAGATATCTTTAATCATCAATGCATTGACAAGCAATCATTGCCTCGATATGAAGTAATGAGTGCAAGTTGCCCGTTTCAATGGTTTCATGGTGGCCAACGCGCACAACGGCTAAAGTGCGCGACAGCTGGGGGGAGGAGAATAGCCAAAATGTCGCCTCGGTACTTTTGACCCTGTGCCTCGGTACGCAATCTCGTTTGTACCTCGTCGGCGACTGTCAAAAACAGCGCCATTGCCGCTTGCCCATCAAACGCGCCACGGGCCCGAGGCGCTCCGGCTCCGAAGCTCCATAGTACTACATACAATCTCAACCAACAGAAAATGGCAAGTCGGGCTTGACGTCGTCCGGTCTTTTCTCCTTCTTTGGTTTGTTTTGTGCTCTGTGGCTGGAACTAGGTAGCGCTAAGACGAGGCTCGTGCCGTTCCTCCTGACTACAAGCTAGATTGCTTGCCAGATTGAGGTAGCTGATGGGTCGAAAAGAGGGAATACTAATTCGAATGGATATGCAGCCTCTTCTCGAGGCAAGGAATATCAATTGTTCTTGGCATGTACCTTACAAGAAGAGCACAGCATCAGCGTCGGAGCAGCGGTGTTCGTATCGATCGGTAGTTCTGATCGGTGCTTGGTCGTCCTCTTGGCTCGCCCAATAACACTCATCTCAATTTCCATTGACCAGGTACGAGCACTTAGATACGCCGGGCCTGGTTGGCTGGCTGCTTCTTCCCCCACTCGTCATGGCAGCTTCGCTCAATAAAACCATATCGATGCATCGACATCAAATACATACTAGGGGTACGAGGTTAAGATGTATTCACAAATACCCTACCTACCTTTGCCAACATCTTCACTTGCCTCCCTGTTATCCCCAGTCCAGACGTTGTCTCCTTCTTTGTCCCTCGGTAGCCACCGCTCTTCCGTTCCTCTTCGTCGGTTTCCCTCAACCTCTCCTCTAACAGCCAAGCGAAAAGAACAGGAGGAGCCAATCGACGAGGGGTCACTGATCGCCCACAAAGAGCCCGTGGGGGCCAGGCCGAACGAAGCGGCTGGGCCACATGTGCCCTCCCGTCCAGGGTCCCTACGTCCTATCCTGGCGATGGCGCCCATTAGCAATATCGCCAAGTCGAGTTCGCGCAGCACCGAGGACACGGGCTTGGGTCGGCCGAAATCCTTCCTTCCTGGGGTGGGAGGGGGATGGGGGGGAGCGAGAGAGGGAGCATCGCATCGCACCCGAGCCGTCCATCCGTCCTACCTTTGTCCTGGACAGTAGGCCGTTCTAGGTGTTCATGCCCATGGGGTGCTTGTCCTGCTGGGTCTGGCTAATGTCACCCTCAGGTTGCTGTTATCGGTGCGTTGCTGGAAAATACATACTACTACCTACCTACCTTGCCTACCTATATGCCGGGGTTGAAGATTAGGAGAATGTGACCTGTCAGCCTGAGCCTCACGTCCGGGGCCGTCACTGCAGAAGGACACAAATTTTAAAATTTGCATCTCGACAACAGGACGATACTTCTGGCTCCATTAGCGGCATCACCAGTTTCCTGGACCCTGCCTGGCATTGCCCTTGACGCTGTTTGGTGGTCTCGTCCCTCGCAAGGCCATACACATGGGGTTTGGCCGTGTAAGCGCCACACGTCATATTTGACAGCTGACCAGACCCAGCATCCCGGTTGAAAGAGAGAAAACAAGAAGAGAAAAGACAAGGTAGGCCAATATGGAGCGATCAAGTCCCTCGCCTTGCTTTTCCTCTTGTTGCCTCCTCTTCGCATTGATCCTTTGCTCTCCCTCCCGCTTTGCCCTCAGGAAGCTTGGCACGGTATCTTTTGTTGCTTCGTCGTAAGTGGGGGGCTGGTTCTCTTGCCCAGCATTGTATTGAGAGCCTTTGAAGCTCGAGACATTGTTGTATTGGGCCGCAATGGTTTCATTAACAGGCAGCCGCCACGACCGCGGACCCGGAGCCACTACAAGGCGATTATCATCTAGTCAATGTGGCGATATCCGGCGAGACGTTTCCCTGTCTCCATCGCTTATAGAGTTTCGTCAACCGCATTTTAGGCCATTGGTGTCGAGCAGGGGATATACTTTGCAAACTGAGGTCTCGACCTCGTTATCAAACGTGGACGTTACGGAGCCTATACGAAGTACCTACATACCAAGATCCCGTACCTGGCAGGTCGCCCAACGTGGGATGTCGTTCGCAAGATACGACAATGGCAACTTTTCTTGGCTACCCAATGAAGCCACGCGCCACGGCCACACGCACACACGTCTGCACGTGAAACAGGACGGGCTTCGATGCTACCTTGCATGAGAGGCACGCGCCGGCAGCCCAGGAAAGGGACGTGACTTTGGACATGGGGATGCTTCACTGCCAATTATAAGCCGATCGGCGAGAACAGGTTTCCGGATGCTGCGAGCTTTTGTCTTCGGGCTGCTAAGCGCTTTTGGTTCTTTGCTGTGCTTTTCGAGGGCCGTTTCCTTGAGCTACCTCACACAGAGCATACACGCAGGACTTTTCTGTGGGACAGCTAACAGCGTGGTGTAAGTCTGTATACAAGTTAAAGAGGTTGAGACATAAGTCATTACGTGCAGTCTACAGGCATGACAACCGACTTCTAATACTGGTCTGCTGCAGATCTGTATCGACTTTCAGGTTCCGCTTACCAGGAAAATGCTCTTCCCATCTCTACTACTACAACACCCAGAGGCTGGCTCGGCAACCCTCTCATCAGTGACGGCATGTAAGTGGACCAACGACACGCCAGCCATCGGAGTCTTTTAATTTAAAACCGCATCTGGAACGCTCAACCCCAACCTCTTTGGCTTACCGAAGGGCTGTCGCGTATGATGAGAGGGCTTGTATATAGTATACGTAGATATCATCTGATCATCATCTGACCCCCCTCCAACGCGTTCTCACTACGGAGCACCACCATCGCAATGAGATCTCATGCGTTATCCATGTCTGTTTTGGGCTGTTCTGACAGGCTCCATCGCTGTAGGGGCGAGTGGACGATCTATGGCTCTGTGCGGGGGCCTTCACTTGGCGCATAAAGCATTCTCTCAAAGGAATGGGAGATGTATGACGATAGAGCCTTGAGAGGGTTCGTACATGACGACGGTCTCTGCTGCCCAATGCTTTGAAACTTAAACCCAACGAACCAGGGTTCGTGTCAGTGAAGATGGTACGTGCTGGGTACTGAGGAGGTACGGGATCAGTACCACATGGGGTACACGAGCAAGGGCGAAGAAACTTGGCTACCTTTTGCCTCTTCTCTGAATGGGTTTCACTTGGCAAACCAAGTGTGAAAAGAAACAGCTTGAGGTCTATGTCTCTTCTTTGCCGTAGTCGTAAGCTTCGTTCAAGGAACATCCTGGGTAAAAGTGTTGGTGATGGCGCATAGCCACCCAAAGGTGGCAAGATACGTATCTGAGTGCAAGGGACGAAAAGCATACTCCGGTAGGACCCTTCTTCGACACAATGTTTGCACTGCCATATACAGTATACTCGGACATACGTGGACGGCGATAACGATGTAATGAGTGTTTGACGCCGGTAGGGATGATACCCACAAGTACGACGCCCAGTTCAGTTTCTCTATGAAAACTATCCTCCTACTGTTGGTCCCAACGTATGAAGTATCTATACTTGCGTCGTCTTATACGAGATGCCGCTTTCGTCTGCTGGAGAGGATGAACAAATCTAGACAGAGCTCCATATCCATGCGAGTGACGACAGTTGACCGGTAACCTGGTTTCTTCCAAAAGGAAGCTTTACTCTGAATGGCAGTAATAGATGCATGTCCCTTGGCGAAAAGAACAGGCAGAGAAGATTCTTTCAAGGCTTCCCTGTCACCACCCTACAGCAAGAGATGAGATTGCTCGTCCTCGGTGTGGAGAAGGGGTCTTTTTTGTGGGAGGGCTAAGATGCCGGGTATTTGGTAGGTTTGCCAGGCCCAGGGTCGTGATGCTTGTTCGGAGTAAAGGGCATGCGATCCTTCGGGGATGAGCAAGTATTGCCCAGATTGTCCGCCTGCAAGTGAACTGCAAGGCGAATAGACCAAATGGAGAGAATGGCAAACAAAATGGATGAATGAGATAGGGGAAAGCAGGGTGTACTAGTATTGCATAGGTGGGAAGATGCGAGGTATCAGGTTGGACGAGCGGTTCAGCAACTGTATGTATTATTTTCGTGCTTTGACACGGAGCATCTACATAGATGGGTTTGGATGTGTCCAACAGTGGCTTGGAGGGACTAATGACAGATGACAACCCCTGGTCGGGCATTTCCTTGGGCTGCCACACCCAATATCGTCATAGAGAGAGACAAAAGCGCAGATTCTCTTTATGAGGGCAGCAGAGCTTTGATCAGCTGGGAGGGGCGTCTCTTTCGAGGCATAGTACATGCGTATTGTTCCCGCTTCTCTGCTTCCAGCTTCCGTGGGATGTCCTATGGAGATGGATGATTTGGGGGGAGCGAAGCATGGGGGTTATTCAACGCGTGACTTGCAAAAAAAAAAAAAAAAAAAAAAAAAAAAAAGTCCTACAGGCACGAATATGGAGATTGAATCCGTCCCATCTTCACCGGGAATAACGTTCCTATTGGAGGATGCGATAATACGACATGCTTACTTGGAGCGGTTTTTTGGCTTAGAAGAGAGCTCGGTCTATAGCCGAGAGAGGGAGAGTGAGAATGAGCAGCATAGAGAGAGAGCAGGAGGATGAGGAGCTACGGACGAGTAGAACACGCAGGCCTGCGAGCATGACGCAGAGGGGAGAACCCAAAGTCTGCCTTGATGGCTGTGTGGAGCAAAGCGGCAGGGCAAGGTTTGAGGCCATCGAATATTATATTGCTTGCCGGTTTGGGGGCTCTTTTCCATCTCCAGCCCGCTGCGTCATTTTCTCCCTCTCCCTCACTGCTTCTCATCTCATTCATCATCATCAAGCATTTGTGAAGCACCTACGCAAGTCACCAGGTTCATCCAGTCTGTCCAGCTGCGGTGGAGTTTTCCATTCGGTCAGCAGAGTTGCAGCCCAGCCCTTCAACATTACCCACATAATAAGGAGCCATTACATGCAACCCGCGCGTGCTTTAGCCCTCACATCGTGCTCGGTCTGCATGCAGGCCGGTCCATATTACTATCACTTTTTCTCCCTCCCGTTGGTTTCTCTGTTATGATTCGTTGCTGCGGCAAACCATGTCATATATGTCATGCCATGTCCCGGTTTCCCTTTTCAACGATGCCGTGCGGTACAGAGGACATGCGTGCGTGCGTACATCTCCATGCTCTCTTCCCGTCTTTTTGTGAGAGGGTGTGTCTTGATGTTTGTCTGTTTTTGTTTGTTTGTCATGTGTTTGTTTGCGGAGCTTTCCAGCCGGGCTTGCCTCCCTCTCGCTCTACGTGTGATCCCTCTGTTATGATCAGGCCTTTCCATCTACTATGTACTTCCCTCGAAGTAAACAACAACAACAATAATACAATACTTGTACATACACAATGGCGTCTACAGGGTCGCATCGTGGGTGACGATCACTTGCCGCACCCAATCCGTTATATTGGCCTTTCTAATACTTTTCCCCCCTCCATGCAACTTCATCCACATGAGAGATGGCTGCCGTGCCGCCGCCAAATCCTTTCACTCTTGGCTTTGGCTTTTCCCAGCCTCGCCCGCCTGCAAAAGTTTCGAGTTGTGTGGACGAACGGACGGACGCGGGCGTGAGACGGACGGCACGGCGCGGCGCTCACAGGTGTTGCTTTATTTGGCACGTCACATGTGATGGGAGGTACATCTCATTTCAAAAAAAGCAAGCCACATGCGCACTTTGACACGGGCAGATCCTTTTTGGGGGGCGCCATGGTCTTGTTCTCTCTGCTTTTTCGTCCTTTTCTCTCTCTCGCGCGTGTAGTACCAAGTACGACAACTACGACTACCTCTGGTAATGACACAGAGGGAGTCGACGCCGGGATCCAATACTACTAGCAGCAACTCAAAGTCAGTCCACTTTCCAGGGTCTTTGTTGGGTCCGTTATCTCAGTTAGCCTGGATTTGGTAGATGCCGCGAGCTCGAACCCCGGCTGCGTAGGCGATTTTTGAGCTGTACCTGAGTATGGTTAGAGTTGGGGATAAACGATGGGAGCGATACTATCCAATAGTGCCACATATAGTGGTAAGATCTGTGGTGTATTTGGAATAGTAGTAGTAGTAGTGATATGTAAACGAGCACATGCCAGACAAAGACCAGCATGGAAGAGCCCATCCGCTCCTATGATTGGAGAGGAATACGCACGATGAGCGCCATGAAATAGGTACATGTATCTCCGTGCATGTTTCGCGACATCTCTATGAGAACCCGGGAGGCGGTATGTACAGGTCCATCCGTACACCGTATCTGGGGCTTGGCTGGCGTCTCGAGTTCCCACCTCCAGTGTAACGTTGAGGGCTCTCTCGACCAACAACGACTACATGCTCCCGATGCTCCTGAACAGTATTGGCAGTAGTAGTAGCGATTGGTCATGGCACGAAAAGAAAGTATGTAGTATACCCAGCATGTAACAGGTTCTTATGATCGAGATGTGCGAGCAAGCCCCTCGTGAGTCTCCAGGTACATGGTTAATGCGCGCGAATATGGTACGCATTTTGATGCTTCCAGCTACTACATAGAAGCCCATCGCTGCCGCTGAGCCCGCATATTCAAGCCTCTATCGAGTTAGGTAGCATAATCCTACTTGTGGAAGAGTACCTATGGTCTAACTTCCATGCCCATGCGGTAGTACGAGGCCCATCATAAGCTTCCAGATTGTTCTCCCGTGCCAGTAGCCAACAGCTCGGTTACCCATGGACCTTTTGGCGAATCCAATCTCTCTTCACCATCTGCAGCAGAGGGTATTTTGAGGGATCGGAGGAGCAAATCCGTCACGATCCCTTGTCGGTCACAATCAACCAACAGCTGCCCCCCTTGATTTCATGAAGCAACGGCTCGCGTGCATCTTTCTTCGACAGTCCGGATTTGTTTCGGTGCTTCGGGAGGTGTTGGTTGCTATTTCTTCGTAGCGAGACCTGTTCTGAAGCCCAAGGAATCGCTGTTGCTTACGCTGGGCAGCAAGATGTACTCCTGGGACAAGGTCCCTGCAGGGCGACGATTTCATCATGGCCATTTACCGAACCAACTTAGCGTTGCAATCAGTCGTCATCTGCCTTCGCAAGCCTCCTTCGCTTCCGTCCCTGCTTTGGGAGCTCATCGCTTTCGTGGTCCAGCACGGAGTCCTGTGCCGCGCTGCCTCCCACCCCGTCCTCCTCACCGCTGCTGTCGCCATGCTCATCATGGTCATCATTGGCGCCCTCGGTAAAGACAAGATGCCCTCGCCGACCTAGAACCTCTCGCCCCGCCTCCTCCAGAAGAATGCCCAGCGCCAGCAGTGCCGTCTCATCCATGCTGCGCTCGTCCAGGTTGCGTCCGCTGTCGAGCACCCCCTGGCTGCGGTTCAGCGCCCCGTAAAACCCAGACGAGTACTCGTGAAGGGCCTTGAGGAGGTCGCTCTTTGGCAAGACGCCCTGCCCGCCGTTGGGCAGCTCCCACTCGTGCGCGCGGTAGATGTCGTGCTCCGCATACCGCTCCGGAGCGTCTTTGCGGCGGAACAAGGCCTCGTCTGGAGCCAGCTTGAAGCCACCTCGGGCCGATCGCTGGTCGACGATCCCAGGCTGACGGCTCCTGCGGTCCTGGTCCTCGGACTCTCGCAACACTCCATCATACGTGACTCTTCCTTGCATACAGTTAACTTCACGTGACGCTCAGCCTTTCCCAGACTACCGGGAGAGGCTCATTTCGGATGCCCCCCTTTTAGCTTACCTGCGACGGCGTCGTATACGGTAGCGAGGATGCGCTGGCTCTGGCGGCGGTTGCTGTGCAAATGCGAGGCATCCCCGATGTCGGCAGTTGAGTGCTCGTCGGCAGCGTCCATAGCTTCCCTGGGTTCGTCAAGGGAGTTTTTGACCTTTTTGTTCTTTGCCCGTTCTTTTCTCTTTTCCCTCTCCCTGCTCCCCTGGTCCGTGCTTCGGCTCGACCAACAACGTCTTTGATATGTACCGACTGGGCAGTCCAAGCGGAGATCCCTTGTTACTGCGTCCCGTCCCTCACCGGTTCCGAAGCGATGCAGAAAGAGAGCGTCTGCGTATCGAGACTGTCATGGCAGCTGATGCAGTGACAAGTGAGAGAGAACAGCTACTGACTGTACTGCTGGCGGCAAATGGGCGGTGTTGAGTTGACAAGACGCTGCAGCTTCTGAGACATGAGGCATGAAAAAACGTCCGTCGAAACAAAGTTTTGGCGCTGTTCGGTGTGGTTTCTGGCAGCAAATGTGGGGTGCATTAGTCCTGTGCTGACCGCCTTCAATTGGCCGTGACATCACCCGCTCGACCCGGCGAGGCTTCAGGCATCTTCACCCAAACGTCTGAGGAATCTTCCAATGCGAGCGACGAGGATAACTGACAGCGTGCACAAGTCAAATCCACATCTCGTTTACTCGCACTGGTACTATCTTCGCAATCCGTCAAATGAATGCAGTCTCGCCTGCTGGCCCGCGAGGTGGGTGATCTGCCGAGTCGCAGCCTCTCGCAGATCGTAGCCTCGCAGCTGCTGCGCTCCTTCGAGCCAGCGCCGCATCACCGCTTCAACGGCGACACCAGGCAGCTGGTGGCCCAGCAGCACGATGATCAGCAGACCGCGGCGCTGGGCCTGGGCGACGACCGCCCGCATCGGCTGCGCGCCCACGGCGCAGGGGTGAGCAGCCTTGCCCTGGACAAGTTCGACGGCCGCCTGCTCGTCTCTGGCGGCGCCGACGGGTCCATCAAGCTCTGGGACCTGGACAGCAGCAGCAGCTGCTGCGCGAGCCCGCACGACAAGACGCACACCTTTCGGCCCGTGGGCTACATCCCGCGCTCGACCGGCGGCCCCAGGAGCGGCGGCCACAGCCACGGCGTCACGCACCTGGCCTTCTATCCCTTCGACCCAGACGCCTTCCTGTCCAGCTCCTACGACAAGACGCTCAAGCTGTGGGCCACGGGCAGGGTCGCCCTGTCTGCCGAGTTCGACCTGAATGCCACCGTCTACTCGCACGCCTGCAGCCCGATCGCGGCGCATCTGCTCGTCTCGTGCGCCACCCAGCACTCCAACGTCCGCCTCGTGGACCTCAAGTCGGGAGCAGCGGTGCAGGCGCTCGTCGCCCGCGGCGGTCCCGTCCTCAGCACGGCGTGGAGCCCTCGCCACGAACACGTTCTCGTCAGTGGCCACGCAGACGGCAAGGCCCGCGTCTGGGACATTCGACGCGCCGGTGGCGTTATCGCGCAGCTCGACCAGGAGGACTCGCTGGGCGTCGTGCACCGCTTCAGGCACGCCGTGGCGTCTGGGTCCGACTGGGGCAGCATGCCGCACTTTCGCGTCTCGGCCCAGGCCCACGACGAGGCCGTCAACGGGCTGCAGTGGACCGACGACGGCAGGTACATTGTCTCGGCTGGGCTTGACCGCCGCATCAGGGTCTGGGACGCCGACACGGGAGCCAACACGCTTGCCAGCTTTGGCTCCATTGTGCAGAACCAGCACGCCAAGACTGCAAGCTTCCTCGTCACCCCCTCGGGCCTCTCCACGGGCCGCCCGCTCCTCGTCTGGCCGAACGAGCAGGAGATATTGCTGCTGGACCTCCACGACGGGACTGTCATGAGTCGCCTGCGGAGCCCCGGCTCGACGCACTCCACGGGCGTCCGGGGCAGCGAGGCGGGGCGGAACCGCATCACCAACATTGCGTGGCGTAGTGCAGGGGGTGGCCATGGGCAGGTCGGGCCTGCCATGGGAGGGGGCAACTCGATCGGGGCCATTTACAGCGCCCATCTCGACGGGCAGATACGAGCGTGGATGCCGCATGTGCCCGGGCCAGAGGATGCGAACGAGGACGAAGAGGCTGGCGAGGATGAACAGGCCAAGCAGAGGAAGAGGAAGGCTATAGACAACGCATATAGAAGCCTCATGGGCAAGGAGGTCAAGTTTACGTAGCTGTTTCTGATGTGCTTGGAAACATCAAGCAAATGCTATGGATAGAGAGTGGTATAGATGGCTGAAACCCAGCCAGTCGCGTCTAATGCTAGTCCTACTAAAGCCAATGAGAATCCAAAATCGCTAGTCCTTCCCTGACGCCGCTCCCCCAGCATGACTCGATAGCTTTCCCAGAACCTGTCTGCGTAACCATTGTAAAACAAACTCCCGCCCCTCAGACGACAACAACGAAGCAAAGCCAGCCATCAGGGTATGCGGCCTCCCTCATCATCTCCCCCAAGGGAGCGTTGAAAGGCGCCGGCACGCCGTGGAGCACGACGCTCGCCAGCACGGGATCTCGACTGCTGGGGAAGAGCGCGGGCATGAGGTCCTTGAGGGCCTGCCCCAGCAGCTTCGGCTTGCGGTCTGGCGTGACGACGGGGACCAGGGCCTGGACGATTCTGAAAGATCCAGCTTCACCGGCTGCAGGAGGAGGAGGAGCGGACGACTCAGCACCACCACCACCGCCGCTGGCGTTTGCGTTTGGGGGGCTCGGGCTCGAGGGGATGTAGATGCGGATGGGGGCGTGCTTGAGGGTGGCCGGGGCGTTGAGCAGGCGGGTGTGTATCTTGGAGAAGGCGGCGTAGTCGTTGTCGATGACGGAGTTCCAGAGCTGGGTGGTGTGTTCTTTGGACATTTTCATGATTTGGTTGGCGTTGCCGTAGCGGACGAAGTCGGCCTGTGTTGTTGTTTCATATTGCTGCAGCATGAGCAAATTGGCCCCCCCCTTGTTTGTGTGTATGTGTCTTGTTTTTGTGGATGAGGCTTGTTCTGTGGATGTGTGTAGGCATGGTGTCTTGTCTGTGTATGTGTCCGTCTATCTTACAGGACCGGTGTGATGAGAGGTGCATGAGAGGGGGGGGGAAGCACAACAGTAGCAAGCAGCAGCATATTGCCTTTTCCCTGCAGCCACCAAAGGCAGCAAACAAGCCAAAATGAAAACACACACGAAAAGACAACTGCAAGGAACAACAAAAAAGAGAAGGAAAAAGCAACTCACCTCCTTGACGCTATTCAGAAAGGTATCCCCAATATCCCACGCCACCCCGTCATCCACGACGAGGCGCCAGGGCAGGCTCGGGGCGTACAGGTCGGCCAGCAGCCCCACGGCCAGGTTCCTCAGCTGCACGTCCTCGAAGTGGAAGCTGGAGCAGGGGGCGCCGAAGTAGGCCGAGAGGCGCGGCAGCAGCAGCGACAGGTAGCTGAAGCGCGGGACGCTCGTGATCAGGGGCGTCGACGAGGGCGCGGACCGGTGAGTGATGTGCAGGGGGATCTGGGCGGCCCAGAGGCGCTGCGGGATGGAGGACGAGGGGGCGGACATTTGTATGTGTCTTTGTATGTGTTTGTTTGTGTTTGAGTCAGTTTGGTTTTGGTTTTGGTTTGATGGATGGGGGTTTGAGTGAGGGTTATGGCGGGATCATGGCGATACTGATTGCGGGTTGTGTCTTTGGCGAGAGGTGCGGCTCATGCAACGCTGTATAGTGTGTATCTCGCCCCAGATGAGTACTCAGTGCCTTTGAGTATGTTTCTATCCTGTAGCTGCTTGAGACGTTATGGAGACTCTGAGAGGGACGAGAGGCGGCCTGAGTGAGAGAACAAGGCCAGCGTCGACGTCGACGGTAGTAGTGGGATGTGGATGTGGGGTTTTGGTGTTGATGCCTCTTTCGGTCACTCTACGGTACCTCGTCGTTGTACCTCTTCTCCGCGTTATCGCATCTCCCGCGCTCCTTTGTACCAGTACATTGTGCCTGTATCTAAGAGGTACTCCAAGGTAAGATACACACCCGTTCGTATCTCATCGTATCAGATCACTAAACCTCAACTCTCACCATCTCCATCTCCATCTCATCAAATCTCAAATCTCATCTCTCTCATTAAAAAGTCCAGGTGTCACCCGACAACCCGGTTTTCCCTTCCCCCTCCCTCCCTCCAAATCTCCCGACTGAGACCGCCGCCCCAGCAGCAGTAGTAGTATTTTTCATCACTCACCCCCCTCCCCCTCTCCCGCAAAAGAGCCTCCTCTTCTCTCCCTCTTCTCTCTCTCTTGGTCCCTTTTTCAGCTCCCTCTCTCGCCGACGTACCCGGCTGCATGGAGGAGTCCCGATGCCCTCCCTTGCTCGATACTACCTCGCTCAAAAGTCAGCCGCACCGCCGTGGCTTGTTCTGATAGATGACCAAATCTTTTGTTTGCTCCCCGCTGCGATTGGCTCCCTGTCGCGTTCACCACAGGCTGCCTATGTGTCTGCCCGGCAGCTTCGTACGACGTGCCAATGATGAGCGGTGGCACAGGCGTGTGTCTGCATATTGACATGTCTCTTTTGCTCCGATTCTCGTGCGGAGCAACAGACAAGGTTCCGAACAGCAAGGACATTGTTGTACACACAGCTACGAGAAACAAAGGGCAGGGAGAGTATCGCACTCCCCTCCTGGCGCAAGGGCAACATGGACGGAACCGAGACTGCGGCCGCAAACCACGGCAATCACGCCATGTTGAACAATTGTGATCAAACAAACGAGATGGCACTGCAGGGTACTGGACCAAAGCGTTCATGTTCACGAGACTTTGCTTCTTCAGTTGGTTCAAATTTCATTGTCGTGTCATTGACGTTGCGCTAAAAATACAATAATACTAGTAGTACAGACTGGATATCATGAGCCATCATCAAATTGAACGTTCCCTGGCCTTACAATCCACGATGCTGTTCCTGGTGGGAAACGCTGTGCCTCCGCTCACGGTCATAGCTGTGATCACCGTGCTCAATGCTGGGCTTGCCAATGTGCTTCTGCAACACTGACGGGGGCACCTGAGCAGCATCCGTGGGATCCTTGGCCGTCGTCCTGCTGTCCCTGAAAGGCGTTAGTTCGTCGACTTTGGCGACCCGTCGCTCCGGGACAAAGGCGTCTACCCACTTACGACTGGGTAAAGGTCTTGTCACCACCGATCGTCTTGCTGTTGTCGAGGTCGCTGTCGACGCGGGGGTCGGCCTTGTTCATCATGTCTGACTTGTGCGGGCCAGCGGTGTTGGGAGCTGGGCCAGTCGTCTCACGCTGGTTTCCGAATCCACCGCCGACACTGCCCATGCCGCCGCCGTACGCGCTGGTAGTTGTGTCGCTTCCCAGGCCGCCAGTTCGCTGGCCCAAGTTGCGGTCACCAGTGCTGAACTCTGAAGTCGTGCCGAAGCCGGATGTGTCGTGGGTGCCACCGGTAGTGCCGTAGGCGCCGGTCGTGCCAGTGTTTCCAGAGAGGCCGCCGGAGCCCAGCGTGTCGGTGCCCATGCCACCAGTGGTCAGGCCGGTGTCGTGAGTGTTGGTGCTGCCGGTGCCGTGGGTAGCACCGTGAGACTTCATGCCCATGTTGCGGCTGCCGTCAAGGTCAGAGTCGATTCGGGGGTCGACCTTGTTGGCAAAGTCTGAGCTGTGCATGCCGGCAGTCTTGGTGGCGTTGGAGCCAGTTCCGAAACCAGTGGTCCCGGAGGTGCCAGTGCTGCTGCCTGTTCCTGTGTAGCCAGATCCAGCAGTAGCACCGCTGGACTTCATGCCCATGTTGCGGCTGGCGTCGAGGTCTGAGTCTACTCGGGGATCGGCCTTGTTGGCCATGTTGGAGCTGTGCATGCCGGCCGTCTTGGAGGCAGGGCCGGTGTGGGCAGTCGAGCCGAAGCCGGTAGTGCCGGTAGTGCCGGTGGTGCCAGTGGTGGCCGTGTTGCCGGCGCCATAAGAGTAGTTGTCACCTCCGGTGGTGTATGAGCCGTCATGCTTGCCCAAATTGTCGCGGTGATCACGGTCTGAGTCAATGCGAGGGTCGGCAGCGTTGGCGGCGCGGGAGCCGTGAGGTCCGTGGGTGCCCTCGGGCTGCTCAGACTTGTTGTCGGAGTGGAGCTTGTCCTTGACCTTGTTGATGAGAGAAGACATTGTGATGGATGTGATGGATGTTCAAATGTGTAAGTGTTTGGAGATAAGCTTGGTTTGAGAGTTGTGCTAGAGTGTTTGTTGTTCTTTGATGTGCTGATGAGATGTCAGGAACCGGAAAGACGGAGGAGCACGGCAGTTATATAGTGCTTGGAGCTGGATTCCTTCCTCACGGAGAACTGATCGCTGCCGATGATGACATGGTGGCTCATGCTGCAACTCCAACCCGATGGCGTCCAACCTCGGAGCTTGTCCAGTGTGTCTCTGGTCTACGGGATGCTCTTACTTGCCCAGCCTGGAGCAGCCACAGATCTCATAGCGCCGCTTGCTGCCACAAGGAGCTATGAGGTAACGGCAGGAAGCCGCGATGGCGAGCGTCATACTGGGGGATGGTGACGTTGATCAGCCAAGAGATGACTTGCATCCGGAGCAGCAGGAGGCCAGTGCCGAGCTTAGGTAACCCGCGTGATGGGGCCCAAGGGTAATACGAGTGGTACTTGTACCTGGCAGTGCCAGACCGTTGTGCCGTCATGTTGGTTTACTTTACTGTGGTGCTGTGTGAATCAAGGCTAAGGGTGCTCCGTAGCTTACACACTAAAGCTGCACGGCCGTTTGCTGTTTTGCCGTTTGGAAGTTGGTATGCGATGGTGATGCAAAAGACGGCTGGTAGTGCGATTGAGTTGGCCATGACGCACATTGTGGGGCCCCGCCGTTGGTTGAGAAGCTTGGCCGAGGGTGGCGCAACTGCGATCATTGTTGCATCATACCCTGGGACTTGTGGCTGGTGAGCAGCAGGTGGTGAGGCGCTTGGTTGTGGCAGTTGTTATGAGAAGCAAAAGCTTGGTTTTGAGGACATACCGAAGCAGATCAATGGGGATTGTGATGGATTGCAAGAATACGGCAACGTGCTGCTGGTGTGGCGGCTGTGGCACAGCAGGTTGTTTCTTTGCTGGCGGTGACGTTGACTGGGAGCATCTGCCCTGACTGACGTACATACATACACACAGAAGTGCTTGCATCTGGCACGTGGACTCGAGGACATCTGGGAATCTCGATCATGGCGTTCGGTAGAGCAGAGGCGTGGCATTTTAGCATATGCCGAAGGCTGAATTGGAAAAAGAGGAGAAGATGGAAAAGGGAATTCCATTACCAAAGAGGATGCTCTAGCATAAACTCAATGTGAAGCCGCCGTCTTCTCGAAGGACAGAGGCTCCAAGTTGGGTATAACTCTCATAGTTCAGTAGATGCTAGACGCCATAGTCACGACTCCAAATTCATTGAACTAAGTATTATGTGAATAGAAGACGCAATAGAATAGGCAGTAATTAAGTGCTATCTTAGCTGGGTATAAGGGTCATTAGTATGGAAGGTCATTAGAAGCCGTGTTTATGGCAAGGAGACAGAAGAAGCAAAATTTCAAAGCCAGAGCAAACATTCTTTTCTCCCTCCCTCCCTCTCGTCACCATCTGTTCCAACTCCAACCTCCTTTTCATATCATTCATCATGAGCCGCAATCGAAATCAAGAAATAGCTGTTTAAATCAAGGGGTATCATAAAGGACCGTGTGCCTCTCGGGGCTGCGTGTGTGATAAGACACTATGTCTAATCATCAGGGGTATCGAAGTACGTAAAATGCAAATACATTTCCTTAGACGCGGCTGCGGCGGCGGTACCAGCGGCCGCTGCCCTGACGCGGAGCAGCATCGACTCGAGCGGGACGGTGCTTGTGGACCCAGAAGATGCCCAAGAGGGCAGACACGAGCCAGAGCAGGGCGGAGAGGAAGGTGAAGGCGATGTCGGCCTTGAACTTGCCGCACTGGTCGCCCGAGATGGGGTGGACGTTGTCCCAGTCGAAGATGTAGCCGCACGAGTTGCCGAGCATCTATACGCATATTGTCAGTCTCTTCCCAGCCTTGCCATGGAAACTAGATATGGGAAGAAGGAGAAAAGGATGTGTGAGTTGTCACTTACATTAACCAATAGACCAAATGCAGCCCACCAGCACAGACTCAGGATAATGTCGACGGGCCAGTGCACAAAGGACCATGAAAAGGGCACGAGCCACAGCAGCGCGAAGAACATGGACAGCGCGGCCACGACTTCGGTGTAGATGAAGCGGCCCTGGGACCAGTTGGACGCGTGGCGGAAGTTGTGAAGGTGCTCGCCCGTGACGCCGGCGACAATGGCGGCGAAGACGAGCTCTGCGGCCCGGAGGACGATGTTGACGATGCGGTCGAGCGCCATGGCTGCTGGTTGGTGTTTGTGGTGATGGTGATGGTGGTGATGATGGTGGTGATGATGATGGTGTCCTTGGTGTTGTGTAACTGTAGGGGAAACGCCGGAGATGATGAAAGGGGCAATGGATGAGAGACAGCGGAGGCTATTCAAGCATTGTCCGGAGGGACAGAGGCGCTGCATTTATTGAATCCGCGGGTTCGTCCAGGACTGTGATTGTCTGCGTTGATCTACGACACCAACTTGCAGCTCCGTCGTCATACGTAGCACACATGACCCCTGTGAGCGGCAGGGCATACGACAGCGCAGATGCCCATCAATGCCCCAAAACCCGGTTTGCATGCATTCATTCTTCCGGATTCTGGCATCACCGAGAAGGGGGAAAAACGTGGTTTGCTGCTGTCCTCTCCTTGCCCTTGTGGCATTTCGCTTGTCTAAACACGGGCAGCCGCTGGTAAGCGAATTCCATGTTGATTTGCTGCCTCCGACTCCTTGTTTTGTGTTTCCGCGTGTTTCTGCAGCATTGTTTGGATGCTACGGTGTTGCTGGGATGATGATTGGATGGTGGTGGTGAGTTGATTGCTGAATTGGGTAGCTTTGCTTTTTGGAGGCAGTGGATGAGGTCATAAGTGTGGCTGGAGAATCGCTGCCATTCGCTGGCGGTGCATTGACGAGAGGGCCTAGAACGACATGGCTGTTATGGATTGATTAACTCTCTTGATTCGACTTCCAAGTTTTTGACTGCTGCTTGGATCTGAGTGTTTGACTAAGGAAATTCTTGGCAGGAGTGCATCGTCACAGAGCGATTGAGAGGGAGGAGAGAAGAGACACCATCGTGTGGTCCAGGCGGAGGCACTCCCGCTGAACACAAGGAGCATCTTCATATGATAGTACCCTAAGGGAGTGTAGGATGAAGAGCCATATGTCTTGAACCTTGGCATCAGAAAAGTCCGTACATGCTGGTAAGGTGTGTAACCTACCTATATACTCTTTTCATGCCACCTCTTTCCTTCCTCACAGCATTTGGGCAATCTCTGTATAGCCCCTACGTGATGCTTCCTCGAATGCCTCATCAAGAGCATCTGCTTCAAGAATACCTTCGCCATGATCAAGCAGCATGCGGGCAATCTCTGTACGGCCATACTTCGATGCTTCTTGAAGTGCTTTATCGAGAGCATCTGCTTCAAGAATACCTTCGCCATGATCAAGCAGCATGCGGACAACCTCTGTACGGCCATACTTCGATGCTTCTTGAAGTGCTTCATCAAGAGCATCTGCTTCAAGAATACCTTCGCCATAATCAAGCAGCATGCGGACAATCTCTGTATGGCCCCAACGTGATGCGTACTGGATTGCCTCATCAAGAGCATCTGCTTCAAGGTTACCCTCGCCATGATCAAACAGCATCTGGACAATTTCTTTAACACCTGATTCAGATGCAGCTCGAAGCGGATTGCAGCTTTTTAGGTTAACACCAGCGCCGTTTTGCAGTAAAATTCGGACAATCTCTGTATCACCCCATGAGGAAGCCAAATAAAGCGCAGTGACACCGTCGGCTGATATAGCGTTAACATCAGCGCCATGATCTAGCAGCATCCGGACAGTATCTGCATTGCCACCGCCTGCCCATGCTGCCTGAAGCGCAGTGCTGTAATAGTCTGATGTAGCAGCGTTTATGTTAACATCAGCGCCATGATCAAGCAGCATCTGACCAATTTCTTCATATCCTTCTGTTAAGGCTGTAATAAGCGCAGTGCCATGCTCATCCGAGATAGTATCAACATCGGCGCCATGATTGAGCAGTATCTGGACAGTTTCTTTATGACCTTCTTTCGAGGCTATAATAAGCGCAGTGCCATGCTCACCCAAGATAGTATCAACATCGGCGCCATGATCCAGCAGCATCTGGACAATCTTCATATAGCCGCGAGATGATGCTGCCTGAAGCGCAGTGCCATGCTCATCCGAGATGGCATTAACATCAGCGCCATGATCCAGCAGCATCTGGATAACATCCGCATTGCCGAGGAATGAGGCTTGAATAAGCGCAGTGCTATCATTCGATCTAGCGTTAACATCGGCGCCATGATCCAGCAGCATCTGGACAATCTTTATATAGCCGTGATATGATGCTGCCTGAAGCGCAGTGGCCCACAGGCCTGATGGAATAATATTAACATCGGCGCCATAATCCAGTAGCATCTGGACAACCTCCATATGACCGGAAGATGAGGCCCCCTGAAGCGCAGTGCTACCATTCGATGTAGCGTTAACATCGGCGCCATAATCCAGCAGCATCTGGACAATCTCTGTACAACCATTGTGTGAGGCTTCATAAAGCGCAGTGTCATGTGTAACATCGGCGTTATATTCCAACAGTACCTGGACAGTCTCTATATAGCCTCTCGATGAGGCTTCAGAAAGCGCAGTGCTGCTTGTGATTGTTGCAGTGGCATTAACATCGGCGCCATGATCCAACAGCATCTGGACGATCTCTGTCTGGCCGCCTAATGAGGCTATATGAAGCGCGGTGTGGCCCCAAGAGGATTCAGTACATGTAGCATGAACATCGGCGCCATGCTCCAGCAGCATCTGGACGATCTCTTTGTGACCTCCCTCTGACGCTCGACACATCGCCTGGCTGATATCTGTATCCGGCATGTCATTGTCGGCCGTTCCTCGCAGCAAATCTTGGACTACGGGGTTCAAGCCAAGATAGCTAGCGACAGACAGAACTGACCAGGACTTCCAACGCCACATCTTTTCCCAATGAGCAGTATAGTACGGCGCCCAGACGTGGCCCGCACGGCAGACCATGTGCGCCTCCCTCCGAGATAGAGAAGCATCGGCGACATCCTGTGAATTATAGTGCATAGACCAATATGCAGCGGCGTATGAAAGAAATCTGTAAGGGGGGGCATTTCGAATGTCTATGTGAGAGATATCCTGGGCTGAGAGATCCGGCAAGAGTAGATATTGTAGACATGCCGATGATAGCATGCTGTGCGACTTTGGCATGGTAAACCGACCCCGCCAGGTCACTTTTGGTTTGAGACTGAGAAGAAACTCTCGGGCTGTCTGGTGGATGAAAGATAACTTTTCATCATACACACTGATAAATAGGCCGCAAAGATTCTTGACTTTATCCTTGAAAGTGTCCATTGGCCATAGCCCATCTTCTAGAGCCTTGTTGGAATCAAATCGCTCTTTTGCTGTAGCCAGCGTCAAGGCGTAATTGGCTTCTTCCAAAGAAATAGGTCGTGCTGCTGCCAGAAGGATTTGGAATAGGGCTTTCGTGTGAGTGCTTCCCTTGCTTTTCTCCAAGATCTTCTCATAGGCCTCGGATATCTCTGATGGTAGACTGGAAAGAAGAGTCTCGACGTCGACGCGTCTACCATATTCGCTCGGGCTTCTCTTGATGATATCGACCGTAAGATAGAGCCAGAGATATGTGCGGTTCCCCGTACTCTTCAGTCGGTCAGCAATGAGGCGGCGATCTTTCTCCTTGAAGTCCTGTGCAAATTCGTTCACCCTAGCGTCTATGACCAGATTGATCTCGTCGCCTATTTCCGCAGACTTGTCATCACCATCGAATCGTACGTATGCCGTAGTATCAGACAACCGTCTAAAAGACAATTCTATATCATCATAGGGTCGACTTGTGATGAGAAACTTGAGTCTTGGTGGCCGCTTTGAAGAATTCTGATACAAGTTCTTGAGTTCATCGATCAACTTGTTTCTGCTTTCGGCATGGCATTCGTCCAGGGCATCGATAAGACATATGATCTCGCCAGAATCCAACGAGGTGGCACACTGTATCAAGATGTTCCATAGCTCGGAAAAAGTTTTTGTCAACTTCTCGCCAAACTTTTCATGGCGGGGAAGAGCTTGTTCAATGAGATTGCCGGTAAAATCTTGGACGAAGAGCTGGTGGAGTATTGCACAAAGGGCGTTGTGGGCGTACATCCTGCCTTCATCGCCATCCTTGAAGAAGAAGTAGCAAACGGTGGACGTGGTCACGTTGGTAGACAGCCGTCTTTCATCGATCAACGCTCGTGAAAGAACCGACTTTCCACAGCCAGGGCCCGCGGACACCCAGAGAAGACGAGAGTCGTCGCTGTCACGCCAGTTGCGGAATCTTCCATCTGCAAAAAACCACTCACAAGTCCCTGGAACCTTTTGAGGGTTGAAATTCTTGTCGCCCTGGTAATCAGACGCGAGAAGGTAAAGGAGCTCGGTAGCCTTTTCGTCCTTGGAGCTCTTTCGAAATTCCAGTCCGCTATCGAGGAGGGCATTGTAGATTCTATCGAGAGCAGCGCGCGACTCTTGCATCTCATACAGTTGCTTCTTCCATTTGCTCTCAATCTGGTCGGCATTGAGAAGGCGGAGGACATCGCGACACTCTTGGTTGAGCCGGTCGATCTCCTGTATTTTGATTTCCCATTCTCCAGGGCTAGATATGTCGCTCCATGCTCGAGTGAGCTGCCTCTTGGAGAGGTGACATATGACCCGCGCTTGATACTCGATGATGTATGAATACAGTTTGGCCAAGGGGTCGATAAAATGCTGATGAGACGGACCAGCAAGAGACGGAAGATAAGTCTCCTCACAGATTCGCCAGTACATTTGAACGTCGCCAATCGAGTTGAAGCCCTTTAGCATAGCTTCATTCTGTGTGATGCTGCTTGTGACAAGCTGCTATGATAAGCCAGGGTTCATCAGAGCAAAAGGTAAGCTACACTCACTGGAAGAAGAATCGAGACACCGGACCACGCGAGTGCCGCATATGGTTGATTGCTTACAGCAGATTTGACGATCGGTTCAGACCAGAGGAGAAGCTTTGCCAGCCTCTCAGCTTGTTTGCGGACTTCGATGTCTGTGCCGAGGAGCGAGACACGCCACCTCTTCTCCTCTCTATCCTTAATAGCCCTGTTCACGATGGCTTTGATGAAGTCTGGGGCGGAAAGGTTTGCGTCGGCTGCAGTGCTGCCTTGCAGAGAGGACAGATACTCCTCGTAGGCTGACATCAGTTCGCTCTCCCTCTCTTGGACTATGCTGAATGCGAGCTCCCATGGGCTGCTGTCAGTGCGTATCGGAATAGCAGTTGTCTCGGATATCTCCAACAATGGGACATGGGCTGGCTGACGAGCATCCTGTTGTTGAACTCCTTCTGGTTGAACCTCTTCTGGTTGAACCTCTTCGGGCTGCACTTCTTCGGGCTGCACTTCTTGAGGTTGCACTTCTTGGGGCCGAACAATCCGAGATCGAACAGTTTGATATTGAACAATTTGACATTGCCCATCTTTCGATTGAATCGACGATGGGGAGGAATGCGCGGGAGAATCAGTTGCTGCGGAAGATGACGTTCCCCCATTTGGCTCTCGCCCGTGATGACGCCCCTTCCACTTCTCCGATAAGTAGTCCCTGTATCTGTAGATTCTCTCTTTCATGTTGATTCCGAAATGATGTTTTGGATTGATTTTGATGAAGATGGGATGGAGAGTGATGGGGAGTGATAAGAACGATGGAGAGTTCATATACGAGATTGCGGCTGAATGTAGCATTCAATTTCGAGTGCGCATATATGTACATATCTGAATGAGGCATCCATCGATACCCAACCTCTCAGCCAATGGTATCATGTCACGAATTTGGAGTGTGTACAGCGCATCCATGCCTTCTCAATCTCATTCGCCATGTCAAGCCACAGTCTTGAGCAACAGCCGCTTATGCATTCGCATCCCAGCCATGCACAGACAGGTCTCTTGCGGCTGAGTGCTTGCAGAACTGCCCCAGGAACAAGCTTCCTGCATTTCAGCTGGCGTGCTGCAGCTGTTCAGGTCCACATGGGCCTTTAGGCCTTCAATAGGAAGCAAATGCTTTGCAAGACTTGCCTCTGCTCTAGCTGATGGGTGGCGATCGTTCAGTGTCGGCGATACAGGAGGATCGCACATAAGATTCCATTCCCCTTGTACGTATTCACGTATACAAGGATGAAAATTGATCGCAATGTTCATGTCTTGTGTTCTTTGTGCAATTCATTACGAGCCAGCGTCTGCCACCTTTGTATTTCATGATCAGTTATGGTTGTTCAATCCCCCGCTCATATGAACGATATATATAGAAATCACAGTGACAGATTCGAATATCGAACCGTTATGCCTTTTAAGGATAGAAACTTTTGCCGAACAGTATTCCTTCAATTGGTGCTGAACAACGGCCAATGACTCTTGACTCAACGATGGAAAACCTGATATAACCTGACAAAAGAACCCGAATCCATCCTGACTTCCAATTCGGCTATCTATCAGATTCTCTTGTAAGTATTTTGCCACAAGTTCGATTCAGTTGCTTCGAGCTACATCACTGCCCGAGAAAGTCTTCTAGGTGTGGCTGGTTTCCATCAACGGAAACACAAAGATGCCTCCCAAAGGTAAAGGTCGAAAGGCGGCAGCCGCAAAGAAACCAGTACGACGCTCCGAAAGAGCATACAAAAATGCAACACCACCAGCCGAAGAAGAGATCCTAGCCGGACCAGAGAGATTTGCACCGTGGTTCCCCCTCCTGCAAAAGATCAGAAAAGACAACTGGAAGCGACAAAACAACATTTCGCTAGAAGGCACCAACTTACACCCAGCTCAGACGCAAGCGAAGGACGAATTCCCCGAGATCCTAGAGAACATACACCGCTCTTTGAGTGCTGCCCCCAAGGTCTACGACAACAAATTGGTTCCGCCAAGTGAGTATCCCGCCGTGCAGCTGCAGAACGGCGTCCTCACTCCCGAATTGTCAAGACGACCGAGGAACTTGGAATGGCTACGAACGCGACTCCGAACAGCCCGACACATCGCCGACTGGCCTGTCACCAAATGGCAGTCTTACAGCATGCATTCGTACTTGAACACCACCAAGGAAGCCGTCATGTGCCGGACGATGCCGCTGTTCCAAGAATACTCCCACGACCCCAGCTACATCAGGACGTTCTGCCAATGCTTCGAAGACTTTCCCGAATACGTCCCCTTCTCCCGCGGAATCGAGAAACCTTGCCCTGGATTCGCCCAAGGATTCAAGCTCGATGCGTATCCCTGCGTCGACGTCGAGTATCTCTCCGCCTCGGTATGCTTCACCCGCAGTCAGACTTCCCTCGTCCATCCACACCTCGCCGGCGACTTTACCTACGGAGACCTCAAAGCCCTGGAAGCAGCAAGCGCACGCCACGGCGCGGCAATGGTCTACATGCGAAACATTGCCCTCGCCCACATGCAGAAGGAGATTCTACCTGACATTGCCGAGGTCATGACGTTTACAACCAACGGCGTCTTCATCAACTTCTACGCGCACTATGAATCTAGATCTTCGGATGGTAAGGTGGTCTATCACCAGTATCCTATTTTGACGGCGAACCTGCTTGGGTCGTATCACGAGTTTCTGCAGGGCGTTGCGATGTTGCGGAATTGTCAGGACCATGCTCTGTTTATGGCTACGCACCTGAGGGATGCTCTGGAGAAGTATCACATACGGAACGGTGTAAGTGCTTGGACGTATCGTTTGGATCAGGGCGAACATATTCTGTCGGAGAGCGAGGACAGCGAGATGGGAGAGGCTCACGATGTAAGGGATTTTGTGAATGGAGACGGAGCTTGTTCGAGTGATGGCGAGAGCACGGATGGAAGCAGCAGCGACGAGGACGAGTCTTATGACACGGCTTATGAAGATCAGTCGCCAAGGAAGCTTCGAGTTCGGGGATTGATGATGCTGAGGCCGAAGAGAGGAGGGGTGTTGAGGAGGGAGCAGAGGGATTCCAGTTCGCAGAAGCGGAGAGCCGGTAAGGGTGCTGACGGGGCGGCAAAGAAGAAGAGGAGGTAGACACTCTCTCTCACAGACACAGGTAGGTGAACAATTCTCCTTGAATATCACATCTTTCTTTATCCTACTTCATCAGTGTGATCTCTGTCAAAGAGACAAAAAAAAGTGAAAAAAGAAATGACACCTGAGGGATTCGAACCCTCGCCTATTTCTAGACCGCGAAGAGGGATGCGCTCACAGTGCGAGCTATTCCTGAACACGGCGCCTTAGACCGCTCGGCCAAAGTGCCTTTTTCGATGAAAGGAGGAGTGCTAATGACGGCCATGAGGGTGAGGACGAGAACTGGTCGTTGGAGGGTGTCGAGATAGGTATGTGTAAGCAGGATGCTACATACCTGCAGTACTCATTCGCGGTGTCTCTCACCAAAAGTGGCAGAGATTATATAAAGACATGATTGTAATCTAAAAGATAAAAAGTCAATTGACTCTCATCCAAGTGCTTCGGGATGCTGAGGTAGTACATTTCCTTGACCTCTGCCGGAGTTGTTCTCCCGTGGTGCGGCCGTGATAATGTGACGAGCGCCAGGTTGCGGAGCTGACGGCTTCCACAGCGATAACAGCCGCAAAGCATCGCAAGAACCAACAACACAACTCTTCGTGACGAGTTGCCCTGTGGTTGTATTTCCCACTCACCCAATTTCCTGTATCGCGGCATCGCCAATCAAAGCCTCTCGTTGTCCGACAACCGTCGTCCAGTTCATTAACGATTTCGGAGGCCGAACCCCGCCAACTCATCACCTCTCACTAACAAGCTCACCCCGCCATACCAAACGCTTTAGTGACATCTCCATCGGCAATCATCGCCTCATTGCTCCGGCGCCTCGACTTTCGCCCACGATCTCCATCCGACGTCACTCTTCCACGGGATAATAGTTGCCCTCTGCTCACTAAGCAGCTCGAGTCCATGTATAAAAGAAACCGTCTCCATTGAATCAAATCTCATCACTCTCGCCCCTCCCCCTCCCCCTCATCAGCACTCTACTGTCCGTGATACCCCTCCACGATCCTCTCGTCATCATGGCAACCCCCCCAAAGGAGCGCGGCATCCGCATAGCCATCGACCGCGGCGGCACCTTTACCGACTGCGTGGGCGAGCACCGCGGCGAGGAAATCATCATCAAGCTGCTGTCCGAGGACCCGGCCAACTACAAGGACGCGCCGCTCGAGGGCATCCGCCGCATCATGAGCCATTTCCTCAAGCGCGAGATCCCCCGCGGCGAGGCCCTGGACACGTCCGAGATCGACTCCATCCGCATGGGCACCACCGTGGCGACGAATGCGCTGCTGGAGAGAAAGGGCGAGAAGATTACCATGGTCGTCACAAAGGGCTTCAAGGACTGCTTGACGATAGGCAACCAGTCCAGGCCCAAGATCTTTGACCTGGCCATCAGGAAGCCCGACGTCTTGTATGAGCAGGTCGTCGAGATTGACGAGCGGGTCACGCTGGAAGACTACGCCGAGGACCCGGAGAGGAAAATCACAGAGGCGGACGCCCAAGCGGGCTCCAAGGAAGCGCAGGGCAAAGACCTCGTCAGGGGCCTCTCCGGCGAGACGGTCAGGATACTGAGACGCCCTGAACACGACGACATCAGGGGAAAGCTGCAAAAGGTGTACGACGCCGGGATCCGCAGCATAGCCGTCTGTCTGATGCACGGATACACGTTCCCCGACCACGAGGCTCTGATAGGCCGCATCGCCAAGGAGATTGGCTTCCAGCACATCTCCCTCAGCCACGAGCTGATGCCCATGGTGAAGCTCGTGCCCCGGGCGACGTCCGTCTGTGCAGATGCCTACCTGACGCCCGCCATCAAAAAGTACATCAATGGCTTCCAGGCGGGCTTCGAGGGGGGTCTTGGCACGGAGAGCGTCAAGCACGAAAGGGGACGCAAGGGCGCTCGATGCGAGTTTATGCAGAGTGATGGTGGGCTTGTTGATGTGGACAAGTTCACCGGTCTCAAGGCCATCTTGTCTGGCCCGGCGGGAGGCGTCGTGGGATATGCCATCACCTCTTACGACGAAGAGACAAAGATTCCAGTGATTGGATTTGACATGGTAACTCGCTCATGAACTGTCAAACTTCGCATTCTTCACTAACACGATAGGGATAGGGAGGCACCAGCACAGACGTATCTCGTTACGGAGAAGGCCGGTACGAGCACGTCTTTGAGACCACCACGGCCGGCGTCACCATCCAGTCGCCCCAGCTGGACATCAACACCGTCGCTGCCGGCGGCGGCTCTCGTCTCTTCTTCCGCAACGGACTCTTCGTTGTCGGGCCCGAATCCGCCGGCGCACATCCCGGCCCTGCGTGCTACCGAAAGGGCGGTCCGGCGACTGTCACAGACGCCAACCTCTATCTGGGCCGCCTCCTGCCCGAGTTCTTCCCCAAGATCTTTGGCAAGAATGAGGACGAGGGTCTCGATGTAGAGGCGAGCAGAAAAGTGCTGCAGGAATTGACAGACCAAATCAACCAAGAGACGGGAAAGAGCCTGTCCGCAGACGAAGTCGCCTTCGGATTCCTCACAGTCGCAAACGAGACCATGACGCGCCCCATCCGATCCATCACCGAAGCAAAAGGCCACGACACGTCCAAGCACCGCCTCGCGACCTTTGGCGGCGCCGGCGGCCAGCACGCCGTCGCCATCGCCGAGTCCCTCGGCATCAAACAGATCCTCGTCCACCGATACTCGTCCGTCCTGTCCGCCTACGGCATGGCCCTCGCGGACGTCGTCGACGAGCGCCAGGAGCCGGACTCTTCAGTGTGGGAGGACGGCGGCAAAGTCGTTGCCGAGCTGCAGGCCAAGATGGAGAAGCTCAAGGAAAAGTCGCGCGCGGCGCTCAAGGACCAGGGCTTCGATGACAACGAGATTGTCTTTGAGGAGTACCTCAACTGCAGATACCGTGGGACCGAGTCTGCGCTCATGACCATCAAGCCCAGCAAAGAGGAAGCAGAGGCCAACTACGGTGGCAACGACTGGGACTTTGGCAAGGCATTTGTCAAGCATCATCGGTACGAGTTTGGCTTTACGCTGGACGATCGAGACATCATTGTCGACGACGTGAGGGTCCGTGGAATCGGTAAAAGCTTCCGCCATCAGGAGAAGTCCGTGGACCAGCAGCTCAAGACGATTCAGCGACGGGAGGTCTCGTCCAAGGCGCAGCACAGCGAGCAGGAAGTCTACTTTGAGGGCGGAAGAGTCAAGACGCCCGTGTACAAGCTCAAGGACCTGAGCGAGGGCGACGTGGTCAACGGCCCGGCCATGCTAGCCGACGGAACGCAAACCATTGTCGTAACTCCGCGAACCAAGGCTCTCATTACGGGAACACACGTGGTGCTGGACATTGCAAAAGAAGGCGCCAAGGATGAGTACGTTGAAATATACCCCTAAACAACCCCCTACACACAAAGGAGCTCAACTGATCCCTATATCAACAGATCCCACAGCACTGCAGATGAAGACCGTGAAGTCGACCCCATCATGCTCAGTATTTTCGGCCACCGATTCATGGCCATTGCCGAACAAATGGGCCGCGCCCTCCAGAAGACGAGCGTCAGCACAAACGTTAAGGAGAGGCTCGACTTCTCCTGCGCCATCTTCGACGCCGCGGGCAACCTCGTCGCCAACGCGCCACACCTGCCCGTCCACCTGGGAAGCATGAGCCACCTCGTCCGCCGCCAAGCAGAGATCTGGAAGGGCCGGCTGGAAAGGGGCGACGTCATCATCTCCAACCACCCCTCGTACGGAGGCACCCATCTCCCCGACGTCACGCTGGTGATGCCCGCCTTCGACGCAAAGGGGGAGAAGATCCTCTTCTACGCAGCCTCTCGGGCTCATCACGCCGACATCGGTGGCATCAGCGCGGGCAGCATGCCGCCGCACTCTCGCGAGCTGTTCCAAGAAGGCGCTTCCATCCGCAGCGAGAAGCTCGTCAGCGGCGGGAAATTCGACGAGCAGCGCGTCGTCGAGCTCTTCTACAACGAGCCGGCCCAGTATCCCGGGTGCAGCGGCACGCGCTGCCTCGCCGACAACATCAACGACCTGAAGGCGCAGGTCTCGGCTAACAACAAGGGCATTTCTCTCATCGAGACGCTCATCGAGGAGTACGGCGAGGAAACCGTCCAGTTCTACATGGTCAACATCCAGAAGAACGCCGAGCTGTGCGTCCGCCGCCTCCTCAAGGACGTCTACAAGCGCTTCGAGGGCAAGGAGCTCTCCGCCGTGGACTACATGGACGACGGGACGCCCATCCGGCTGAAAGTCACCATCGACCCCGAGGCGGGCGAAGCAGAGTTCGACTTTGACGGCACCGGCCCCGAAGTCTACGGCAACATCAACGCGCCCCAGGCAATCACGTACAGCGCCATCATCTACTGCCTGCGGTGCCTCATCTCCGAGGACATCCCCCTGAACCAAGGCTGCCTGAAGCCGATCCACGTCAAGATCCCCGAAAAGTCCATCCTGTCGCCCTCCGCGGGGGCCGCCGTCGTGGGCGGCAACGTCCTCACCAGCCAGCGCATCACCGACGTCGTCTTCAGGGCCTTTGAGGCCTGCGCCGCCAGCCAGGGCTGCTGCAACAACCTCACCTTTGGCTTCGGCGGCAACCAGTCCGGCAAGGAGGCCGTCAGGGGCTTCGGCTACTACGAGACCATTGCCGGCGGCAGCGGCGCCGGGCCGGACTGGGTCGGCACGAGCGGCGTGCACGTCCACATGACCAACACGCGCATCACGGACTCGGAGATCTTCGAGCGGCGGTACCCCGTCCTCCTGCGCGAGTTCTCCATCCGCAAAGGTTCGGGGGGCAACGGCCAACACCGCGGAGGCGACGGCGTCGTCCGGGACATTGAGTTCCGCATACCCCTGCAGGTGTCCATCCTCAGCGAGAGGCGCGTCTACCGCCCGTACGGCCTCAACGGCGGCGAGGACGGCGAGTGCGGACTCAATCTGTGGGTGAGGAAGGTGGAAAAGGCAGACTGGGAGCGGTCCCTCAAGAGGCTCCAGGGGCAGGAGAAGGAGGACGACGACGACGACGACGCAGGGCAGCCGGAGTATGAGGAGCGGCACATCAACCTGGGCGCCAAGAACACGGCCGCCATGGCTGCGGGCGACCGCATCATCATCTGCACCCCGGGAGGCGGAGGCTGGGGCAGGCCAGGCGAGGCCAGCAAGGAAAGGGTAAGGGCGGACTTGACCGAGAGCTGGAGGAAGGGTAGCGGTGCGGCGAGAGACGACACTGCTCTGCAGGCTTAGCCATGTAAAACAGTTACAAATAGCAAGTAGAAGGTGTAGAGTAGACGCCGACTTTTGGAAATAATAAGCAATTCACCGTTCCTATTCTCAATAAAAGGAGACGACCAGCTACTGTAAGCTATGAGATGCTGGAGCGTCGAAGGATCCGTAGGAACGCACAATCGGTGCCACTGAGCCGGTAAGCACAAACGCTCTCAGCCCTATCTGCGTTACGATTCGCTGAAATCTGGAAAGGCAAATAGAAATGGCGTCCCAAGATGTAACCAGGCCGCAAACCCCCCCGGCAACGACTTCCGATAGGGGTAACATCAGTCCATCACGGTGCGATTCTTCAACATTTCATGTCGCAGGAATGGGTCTAAACAGCCATTGAAAACCCCCCAAGTCCCTCGCCCAACAGCTCAGAAAAAAATCAAAGCTGGCCATTAGCCAGTAAAATGGTGCTTTTCAGCCTCAGCCCTACCGAGTCAGGCTGCCGATCTCCGATGTGCCGTGGTTGCATCCTTGGCCCCCAAATCCTTCGAAAAATGCGTAGCCGCTGCAAGAAGTGCAGCATGAAATCTCTCTGCATTCTGCACGTTCCCCCGGGTGTGTGCTAGAGCCTTTTGTGACCTTGCATGCTACTCTCTCGCCCTCACTACTCTCACCAATGGCGAGGCGTACCAGATGGAAGGGAAAGGGGGGGTGGTGCTCGTTCCGCAGCCATGGGCACACTGCTGTGAGTGGCGATGCGTGCCGTAGGATCGGTGAACCGGTCTATTTCACGATGCCTCTGGAGGCTTCGCTTCACCCTAACGTCTGGCCCTAGGAAAGATCCGAGCCGCCGGGCTTGTCCAGCCCCACAACGAGGACAGTTCCACAGGGGATTTCTGACGATGTACGAGTCTCTGGCTCTCTAGGACTTTATATGATTTTCATGCTGTAGTTCTCGCTGCTGAATAGTTCCCATCACCAGACTCGAACGGGAGGTGAGCCGTGTCTAGCGCACGGTGATTACGTGCCGCTCGACGAGGGAATATCATCCTCGCCGTAGCTCGTTTCGTCGGTTTGACCTGCATACGGCGTTCGGATCACGTCCGGCATTCGTCGGCCGACTCAACGTCCGAAACGTCCCATTTGTGGACTTGATATCAAGAGGTTGGCGAAACGGTGTCCCCCATACGTTCGTACGCGTACACAGTAAGCAGCCATGAAAGGCTCGTGACGGGAACAGACGCCGTGATCGTCGGGGAACCGGAAACACAACACGCGCATTGCATATTCGCCGTCGTACCGACGGGGTGCCCTGCGTGTCTCGGCTAAATTCGCGATTTTTCTTTGCTTTCCTCTTCCCTGGAAGATGCTCATGAAGCCCGGCCGACCTCCGCTTTCTGCATGATTTGGCTCATCCTAGGCGGCTCTAGATGCATTTGCCAGCAGTAGCGACGCAGCGCTATCATGGCTCTCCGATAGGAGGGGCCTGGGCCTTGAGCAAAGTTTGACACTAGAGTCTGTCGTCTTCCGAGGCTCTTCGGCATCTTGTGATACTCGCAGCTTATCAATGCGGTGGAACGGAGCTCTCTTCTACTTCCTGCTTCCTTGTCGTCTGCCGTTGAACAAACCACCCCTCCCCTCCCCCCTTGTTTTTCGGGGCAGATGTGCTGGATGCTGGGATCCTTGCTTGTGTGTCCACTGTGAACCCAGGAACCTAGTCCCAAGACAGCGGTGGTTGCATAAAATGATAGACAACCTTTTTTTCTCTTGTCTGCCAGCTGACCAGAAGAATGGAGATGGCTTCGTTTACACAAAACCACGTCCCGCCCAATGGGGGTCTCGGCGAAGGGGCCAGCCACGCCACGAAAACGGCCCCGGGTGGCCTCGACCTGAAAGAAGCAATCAAACGCCGGCACTCCATGCCGGGACTGTGCTTGGTTGTCTGGACCGCGTTCGTTCCCCTTCAATGAGATCGCCCGGTAATTCCACTTTTCATCGGTGAGGCGATCAATGTCCCCTTGATAAAGGTCCACCCCGAGGCGGATCAGTCTTGTCTCTCATGCCCCCCCCACCATAAACGCCGCGAGTTGACTGCATCGTGCCCATCCGCCACTCAACCGAGGCGCCAAAAGCTGTCGTGCCCTGATATCACCTGCTTCACAGGCCACCATTCCGTAAACAAAGATGCGGCCTACTCGGGCCTTTCCGGCCGACGGGCCAGCCATATATGCATGCAATAAGGAACCGTCTCATGCTGGCTGTTGCTGCTGCTGCTGCCGCTGCCGCCTTCTGCTGCCCTAGGCACGCACAACGCACCACACACACAGCGGCACAAGTGAAAGGAAGTGTATCCCGAAAGAGAAGAGTGAGAGAGAGAGAAAAAGGCCAGGCTCGGCCAAGGCAGCTCTCCCCCTCCCCCTCCCTCTCATTTCCTCGTTTCCTCCCTTCACCGGGTCTCTTGTGACTCGAGTGAGAGGAAAGCCAGAGGAAGTGTGGCGTATCTGGCTGGGCGATTGCGGGTAGTCTCTCACACATATGTATGTGGCATTTTCCCGCGGCAGGCCAAGACGTCTGTCCCATTCGTCGCTCTGCGCGTCGCATATGCACCGCAATTGCAGCATGGTGTGTATGGGTGAATGTAACGTCGATGTCGCGGAAAATCGAGGCCCCCCCAGTTTGGTATTTATACGCACATGAACCGCACACTATCTCGCGACGGCATTAAACCAGGACGGCAACCATCCAGACACGAGACCCAGGGGAGGAACACACGATTACACGGTCACACCTAACAAGAGAGCGAACACAACAAGGACGGCGGCCGGAATTGGCCGCGGAAAGGGGTACCATCATGATGCGGATTGCAGTCGCCGGCGGACGAGGCCTCGGGTTCCTGCTGGCGACGGAACTAGCACAGGCGGCAAACGCTTACAACGTCGTCGTTCTATCAAGATCTGTTGGGTTTTCCGCGCCACGTCTCCCATCGGGGCCCAGAGCTGTTTGCGTGTTAACCCTGCGACGCAGGCAAGACCCGAATTCGAACCGTTCGACGTCCAAGTTCACGTCGTGGATTACCACGACCACGGCAGCCTTGGGTATGCGCTTCAAGGGGTCGACCTGGTCATCTCGACGATATCCGGCGCCGAGCAGCTCAACCTCATCGACGCCTCCGGGCGCGGGCGCGTCCGCATGTTTGTTCCCTCGGAGTTTGAAGGATCGATCAGTCGACGGCCGTCACGGAACGATCCCCTGGACCGCGGATCGTCGCAAGCCCTCGCCTTGCTGAAGCAGTGGTCCGAATCATCGCGGATGAAATACACCATATTCTCATGCGGCCTCTTCATGGAGCGCTTCCACCCTTACGGACTCGGCAGCACGTTCAACATCGGTCACGGCTCGGGCGTCGGCGGCGCTGGAGAGTTCCTCGTCAACTTCAGCATGGCCACGGCCGAGTATACGGAGCGAGATTCCAAGGGACATTCAGTACGTGTCTGCCTGACATCAGTGTACGACGTGGTCCGGTTTGTCGTGGCAGCCGTCGACCTGGGGCCCTCGCACTGGCCCCAAGAATTCACCATGTGCGGGGAGCGGATGACGGTTCGAGACCTCGTCAACGCATGCAGCACGGCTTCCAATAGTTAGTCTGGCCCCTTTTGCCGCCCAAGATGCTCAGACATCCTTCGGGACGCCCACGCCGAGAATTGCTGGCAGGTGACACAAAGAGCTAACGGAGATGTCGTCAGCGGTGTTTACGCGACATGTGCACCAGTATGCGGAGCTGGAAGCCTACCTCAGCTACTCTGCTCAGCTGTGCGACTATGACAAGGTGGCATACTATCAGAGGCTCCTGGCGACGGCCAACGGGCGATACGACTTTTCCCAGGCAACGCTGAACGAGATCGTCAACCGCAGCAATAGCGTCAATGTCCAGCCGGTCACATTCAGCGCGTGGCTGACGAGCATATGGACGCAAACATTCTGACGGGCAGCCACTGCATGGAGGTTGATTCCTTTCATTTCCCTCTTCTTCCAGTTTTCTTTTCTTTTTTTTTTCCCTTCCCCTTGTTTCCTTGGCATCATCATGTCATGGATTGGACCAGGCGTTGCGTTTGGGCTTGCTTTCTTCTGCAGCCCCTGAGAGAAAAATGGCGAATCAAGTCCATGGGATAAACAGAGCATGGCGCAAACGAGCCGGAGCGATGGAACACGAGAAGGGGGGGGAGAAGATCAAACAAAAAGCGTCACTACCTGCGCCTTGGAGCACTTGCTCGCAATGGCCTGTAACAGATAGACACGAGCCTCCTCCCAGGGGACGAGGAGCACTCTGCACAAACGGTTAGCAATATGGGAACGGATGGAAAATAGTATGATACCCAAATCCAATCTCCACGCACTGCAGCAAGCAAGCCAAGGAGTGACGGGAGCGACCCAGCAAGCGCCGACGACGCCGCACCCAGCCGGTACAAGCAAGCGGGCGAGCAGGCAGGCAGGCAGGCAGGCAGGCAGGCAGGCAAACCTGGCAGCCAGAGGGCTCATTTCCTATTGCTCCGGTGATTCGCCTGCCCGCTGCCGATTGTCTCAGACGCGCAGCCACTCTCCCCGTCAGCACTCACCGGTCGTCGATCTAGTCGCCTTTTCTCCTCTGCGCTGCTGGCAGGAGGCCATTGGACCGCGACGAGTCCGCACAGAAGCCGCCAGAAAAGGCCGTCGAGCGACACGGTCTCACACATGTCTTGGGAGAGGCCAGTTGAATTGTGATAGAAAAAAGAAGGATTGAAGCGTCCAGGGTCTTTTATTTTTGGTGCGAGAAGGGGGAGAAGAGAAAAGAAAAGATCGAGGGCAGGTGATGGGCGAGCTGAAAAAATAGCCCAGGGAGAGGCGGCGGATTAGGAAAGACAGGGACAAGGTTGACGACTGCACCTGCCGTTGGTGGCTGCATCTAAAATACCCCCCGTAAGTAGTGACTGGACCTCGTGAATACAGACAGAGGCAATTGAGGGACAGACAAGAAAGAATACGAGGATTGATACTGATCAATAATGATTGTGCGCTTGCGGTATCTGTGCATGTGAGGTCCCGTGTTCTATGTAGTACTTCCTGTTCTAGCAGCCCAAGGGTCGTATTTTGGCGGCCGTTACGGCGTCTGTATGTCATCACCCAAGGGCATGTTGGGTTTGTGAGGGCAACAAGAATGATGTGGAATGCAGCGGCGTTGAGCTGATTGGGTTGCAGTGCATCAGATCACGATCGATTACATACAATAATAGTATGATGGATATTATCAGTAAGGTAGTCTAATCACCAAGATGTCTATCTGAGCAATATGGATCAAAGCCGGCTACACGGCATACTATTACTACTACGCCTCCTTCTCATCCCCCCCAAACTCCTCCCCAAACTCGTCCACAATCCACAGGCAAAACTTCTCCCACTCCACCTGCCACTCCTTCAACCGCTCCGCCTTGACGCCGCTCCCCAGGCTCGCCTCCCTGACGCCCTTGACCCACTGCTCCTGGTTCTGGTCCTCAAACGTCGACCACCGGACGCTGTTCTCCGCGAGGCTGCCCAGCCCCGCGAGCCCCAGGTTGTCCCAGCCCTGCAGGGCCTGCCAGAAGTCGTGCGACATGCCCGCCGTGTTCTGCCCCAGCATGGCCGGGTCGTCGTTGCACAGGCTGCACGCGACGCCGCGCGCGAGGAGCGCCGGCAGGGGGTGGGCCATGACGGAGCCGCAGAGCCGGAGGACCTCGTTGGAGATGGGGCACGATTCGATGAGGATGCGCTTGTCCTTGACCATGTCGATGAGGAGAGGGTGCTTGTACAGACTGAAGCCGTGGCCGATGCGGCGGGTGCCCAGCAATATGGCGTCAAACAGATTGTTATCCGTGCTGGAGCCGTCGCCGAGCGTCTCTCCGGCGTGAAAGTAAAAGGGCAGGTTGACGCCCTCCTGCGCGCACTGCTTCCGGAACCAGAACAGCTCGGGCAGTAATTTGATCAGCGGCTTCCCCAGGTCCTCGGGCCCGACGAGGTCGTATCCCGCGATGAGATGGGGAAACTCCATCTTCGTTGTGATGCAGTGGTCCATGTTCTCGATTATGCGCCGCGTCTCAAAACTCCGGAGAGTCGTCCAGATGATTGTGAGGCCCCAGAAGCCCTTGCCCTCCTCCGAAGCTTTGAACCTGGTGACTTCCTCTTCGATGACTGTGAACATGTGGCTGTAGTCAGTTTCGCACTCCTCGCGGCGATCACGGCAATAGTCGAGTGGCCATGTGAAGCTGCAGGCAAGTGTTAGCTTCGAACCAGCCCACAAAATCATGCACAAGATATAGCCATGGGTCAGAAGATGTTTCATACCGAAGCTCAGCCCAGTTCACCCCGTCAGCTTTGAGAAGCTCCATCAGACGCCGCAGAAAGGCGCGGAACATGGGCTCGTAGTGTATCATGGTAGCCACGACCACGAAGCACTTGGAAAACTTTTCCCAAATGGCATCGATACCATGGTGCTGCTCATGGCTGTCGACGAGTGAGAGCGTACACCGGCTCTTGAGCCACTTTAGAAACCCCTGCCGCCCGCCCTCGGGAAAGTCGTCGGCCATCTTGGTGAGCAGAAGAAAGGAGCCCGGCTCGTAGCTCGGATCCCATATCGAGCCGTCCACCCGTTCCTTGGCCCGGTACCTGAAGCGCAGCACGGCGTTTTCCCTCGCGTCTTCGCTGTCCAGCGGCACATTGCTGGTCATGTGCATGCCGGGGGTGTTGAGAAGCTCGTTGAGGATGAAATCAAAGTCCACCATGGCGTCCATGTGGGCGTGCAGCAGGCTCCCCTTGGGCATGCGGCGCACAATCTTCCACAGCTTCGTCTTCTCCATGCGCTCCTTGGCCATCATGAACATCATGCCAGGGAAGATGCTCGACTTGGTCTCCCGCGCCAGCTGCTCCTCGACGCCGGGCGTCCAGATGGTCGCCTGTTCATGGGCGCGGATGCGGTCGACGATGGCGCAGGCGCGTCTGGCGATGGGCGTCAGCGACTTGCGGAACGACGCATCCGCTCTCGTCTCCTTCTCCTTGCTGATGAGGCTGTCGCGCCCCGTCAGATACTGCTGCAAAAAGGGATCCGACGTGGACGGAATGTCTCGCGACAGCTCCTCCCAGAGCTCGTCAGCCGTGGGCATGTTGGGCGGTTGTTGTTGCACGTGTATCGCAGTCCCAGCCGTCACAAATGCTCACGAAAGGGAGGTTGGATAAAGGGGGGCGAGAGATGAGGGTATGAGACGGTATTCAGGGTGATGAGGATGAAACAGGATGAAAATAGGAGAAGCACGGCATAAGAAGTGCAAAAGCAGACCGCCTCTGAAATGCGGAGTCGTGGGCCGGTTATGCAGCCTTATCAGGGACGGAATCGGCGCCGAGGCTGCCTGAAATCCCGGCGATTCGTAGCTCCGGGCTCTCGGCCGGGGCCGTTGATGCAGACGATGAATAAGGCAGCAATGAGTCACGGCTGAGGGCTCAGTTCAACGATGTTTTCTATGTTGCTCGACCGGACGGCTGCGGTGAAGATGCGTGCAAGAGCTGGCCCTGTTCGCCCTACGCAAGCCGTGTCGACGTTAGGATATTCACGGCTAGGCTCGCCTGTGGCTTGAGTCGTGCTAATACTGTTACCGGTATGAGGGGAGGCCAGATGAAGGCAAAGCCGGTCATACATACATAATGCCTTTTGCCATGTGAAAAGCACGCTGAAATTGCCCTCGGCCTCTTCATTTGACCCAAGTCAAATAAGATGAATGTCTCATCACCCCACACTCAGCCCATCATTTACAGGGGGGCATTTTACTGTCCAGCTTCCCGCCTTACCACAAGCAATCATCAGTCCTCAGAGTAATACGGCAACTTGAGGTCCGAATTATAAACAACTCGGCGGTGAAACTGCTCGCCCGATCGTTTGGTCAATCTCTATCTCAAGCTTATGTACAGCCAATCATGTTGGCGCAAGATTACCATTCGCCCATTGATTCCATCCTCCAGCCGTGACAGACCGAAAATCACATCCAGACCCCTGCAAGCAAAACAAAACAGCCATTCGGAGCCTGTAAACCCAACATCTTCCCCTCACTAACAGAATCCCTCGTCCATCACCACAACAGATGAAACTTTTCCAACCCAGCCAGTCACGTCTCTTGGCACGCCTGTTGATCGAGATGCATGTGCCTGTAAAACAGGGGGGAGGGATACGCTACCGAGGAAGAAGCTAGACATGCTCTCGACGCTGATTCGCCATCCGGCACCCTTCCCCCATGCTGTTCGGGGCATATCACAGGCTGACAGGGCGCTTACAGCCTCTTTTTCTGCTCCTCCAACAGCCGAGACGACTACAGTACGGTTCTCGTCCCTTGTTCTTTATTCCGCTTGTGGAGCTTGGGTGTGTTCAGTGCCATTCAGATGTCTCGGTATGCCATGTGCTATGACCGTTGTGATGATGGCTTTTGTTCGAAGATTTGCGGATGCCGAAATGTTTTTAGCTTCCCTTGTTCGGCCAATGTGACGAGTTGAGCAGAGATCTTCTCCCAACGCCCTTGTGCAGCCGGTGATGTGACCTAGCGTTGGTGAAAGTCAAATGATATGACTCTAATTCTATCGTGATCCAAGTATAAATGGCCTCTGATTTCCTCTGTTCAAGGAGTATCTTGAAGTTGCAATCACCTCGCTGAAGCTCCTACACAACTCCACATATATCTCAACTACAAAGCATACGGCACTTGAGATATCAACATCATAAAATATATCAAACACCTATACAAGTCACCACCACCGCCGCCCAAACTACACAATGCTCTCCTCCAGACCCCTCCTCCTCATCCTCCTCGCCTCACTATCCTCCGCTGCCGTCATCCCGAGGAGCTACGACGTTCCCCCCGGCTACTGCTGCTTTACCCTCTCCGACCCGTCCACCGGCAAAACCATTCAGCAGAACAAAGAATACGGCTTCCTCTACTTGGACGCAAACCAGCCAAAAGGATGGTACTGCTTCAACTCGGCTGACTCACGACCCATTCTGTGGGATGACTTCAACAACGCTTGCATCATTTCCTGGGATGGACATTTCCAGTGTCTTGATCCTACCCCCGGTGACGATACGTGGACGCTAGGTAATAGCAGCAGCAGCAGCGGCAGCAGCTCTTTGTTGCTGCATGATAGCTCTCCGACCTACCAAGCGTGTCCTAACACGACCGGGGGCGAGATCATTGAGTCTGGAGCTCCGGCAGCGGCTGGATGTAGGAATATCCAGTTGGAGGCTACTGGTCTCGAGGGAACATGCTCGAGCTTCACTCCATGAGACTCTCTGGCGAAGCCTTTTGGTCCTTTCTTAGCCCCTGAGAAGGTACAGAGCTTGGAACGGGATGTAAATGTTTGTATTATCAACTTCTTTCATGTACATATTTAAGCACCTACCAAGTGCAGCCAGTTCAGAACATTTCCAATATTTCAGGCTTAAATGCAAGCCAAAGCATATACTTACCGCCAAAGCAATGTAACGCTGTGACCAATTCCCTATCCAAGATATCAAGACAATGCCCTCCCTCAACAAACACCCGCCCCATTCCAGTCTGTTCACAATTTCGAAATCTCCCTGCTCACAGCCTCCGCCTCCTCAACACCATACACAATGGCCAGGTCCCTCTTCAGCTCCTCCGCGGTCGTATCCCGCTGCCGCTTCTCCTTGGCAAACTTGTCCTGAACAAACCGACGGAAGATCTCCTTTGCCGCCTCATTCCCGTCCGTACTGGCATCCACATAGAGCAGCAAGGAGATGAGAAGTTCGGCAATGTCCCACAGGATCTCCCTGCCCTCGCCGACCAGGTCGCCCTGCGTCTTGTCGTCAATGTACCACCGCAAGGCAGACCACTTGGAGACGGGATCCCATTCGGAGGGCTTCTTGACGGCGTCGGTCTGGAGCTCATACGCATTCTTGATGAAGTTGTCAAGGGCATCCAGTGACCGGGTCCCCGACTGGGGGTGCTTGAGGACGCGGATCATATCCGTGCACAAGACGTCAGTGGTGCCCTCCCAGATGGGCAGAACGCAGCAGTCGCGGTAGAGGCGGGCGATGTTGAGGTACTCCTGCTCTTCGTTGACGAGATAGCCCACGCCGCCGAGCGACTCCATGCACGAGTAGAGCAGCGGGACGGCGGCCTTGCACACATACGCCTTGGCAAGTGGCACGACGATGCGCAGGAGAGGATCGATGTAACGGGGAGCCGGCGTGAGAGCGGCCAGAGCTGAGGTTGGCGGCGTCGCCTCGTGCTCCGAAATGCCCAGGAGATAGCCGCAGAAATTGCTCAGGAGCATCAGTCCGTGATACTCGGCGGTCAAGTTGGACAGGGTGCGCATATGCAGCGTGCTCTCCGTCAGCTTCATCCGGGCACCGCGACCAGCTCCGACCTCCCGTCGACGCGCATATGCCCTGGCAATACCCAACCCCCGACCAACGTAGCCGCAGGCCGTGATGACGTTGTGGATTCTGGTGAGAGTCAAGATTGTGCTAATCTCCTGAATGCCCCTTCCCTCTTCACCGATCAGCCAGCCGCGCATGTCTTCAAGCACGAGCTCGGCAGTGGGGAGCGACTGCGTGCCCAGCTTGTTCTTGAGCCGCTGGATCCAGACGCCGTTAAGTCGAGTTCCGTCAGACTTGGGGTTTCCGGTCATGGTCTTGGCGGTAGGGTCGTGGCGTCGCATGGGCGCAAAGAAAGTGCTGAGCCCGCCGTGCGACGTGCGTGCGAGCAGAACGGTCATGTCGGAGTCTGTTGCGGACGAGAACCACTTGAAGCCGCTGATGCTCCACGGGCCGAGGGGTATCTTGCCTTCTCTGGACGCGAGCTGGCCCTGGGCTCCTTCGGGTTTGTAAACAGCCACGGTCTCCGTCTGCGATACGTCGCTACCTCCAGAGCGTTCCGTCATCCACTGGCCGCTGGTCCAGGCAACGCTCGGGTCGCGAGAAATGAGGCGGCGATAGGCGTCTTCAAAGACCTTGCGCTCGGTCTCGGTGAGGCGTCTAGACGCTAGATGCTTCCTCAGCAGAGCAGCCGCGCCATCCTGCATAGCCGACGGGCAAGTCACGTTGGCAGACGAGGCCTCCCAGAGATGCAGGCGCAGATATTGAAGAGGGCGAGAGAAGGCGCCGTACGGCGTGTCGTAGCCAGTGGCAACGATGCTAAGCGGCATACCATTAACAACTGCACATGCAAGAGTACACCGGCTGCTTCAAAACTTACCCCCTAGACAGGCCAAACTTCTGCAATTGACGCCATCCCTCGCCAGTCACCAGCTCGCCTTGCAGCCTGCCAAAGGCATCTCGGCCACTACCTTTGAGGTAGGGCTTGTTTCGCTCGGCATCCGTGATCCAGGCAAACACCTCGTCCGAGAGGACATCCCTCCCCAAAGCAGCAACTTCAGCCTCGACTTCGGTAATCACGCTGAAAGGGAGAAACACTTTAGGATATGCTATGTCAGCGAGCCAGTTGCAAGGGTTGGGCGGCAACGAGCCATCAATTGTCCTTGTGTTGATATTACAGTGGACATGTAATAAGATGCACAGTCTTGAGGGAGCCTTCACTCACGTTTGAAGCATCTGCGAAAGGAAACATCGTCATAGAACTGGTTCGGCAATATCGGGGCGGGTTGGAAGAAACCCTTGTTCGCCCCCGAGGGCTCCATGATGAGACGCGAGTAATGCTACCAGGAGGCACAGGAGCAAGCAAGCAAGCAAGCAAGCAAGATCTGGGGTTCGCGTCTGTCGCGCAGGGCAAAGATGGGCAGGGAGACGAGATGAACGGCCGGGGATCTGGCTGCAGGACGAGAGGAGGCAAACAGAGAGATGGCGTGCATACAATGGAGCTGTACGAGTACTTGTATGAGCAGCGAGCGGCAGAGCGCACGAGAGGGTTTGGCGGCAGAGAGTTTAATTGCCCAGCTTACCATGTAAGATGCAAGTTTGTCGGGCTGAGTTCGTCGTTGGCGGGTCGTTGGACGCGGGTGGAGAGACTGGGGGTCAGCCGAGGCCCAAGCGGGAGCAGCAGGCGATTGACGCAGCTGAAGACAGTGACGGAATATTTCCGTTGACAGCGAACAAGCCAATCTCGATGATGTTAACGAGAGAATATATACAGTTGCGTAATATGATATGATATGAGAAGCAGTTTTTACATCGGGAGCAGAACAGAACACAGGTAAACAAGCTTTGGGTACTGCACGGAATACGAAGTCGAGCTTAAACACCCGATATCACATGGTCCACAGGGAAAGGTTCACGTTCACAGTCGTAAACATCATCTATCAAGTCTATATCGTGGTTACCTTAGAACACAAGAAGTATATATCGAGATTAGATGACAAGAGATGGGTACATCTCATTGATCCCTCGGGCACTTATAGAAAAGACCTTGTCGTGTCGAAGTCGAGATTGATGGGTAAAGGTCAAATACTCTCGTCAACCTCTGCTACAGCACTATGTACCCTGCAATCATTATCAATACGCCGTTGAAAGAAATTAAGAACTTGACCTATACACTAGGCTAACCCAGGGCAGATTCATCAATCCATATCTTGTGTAACCCTCGCCGTTGTCCCTTCTATCTGGAGGCAAAAGCCGGACAAAAGACAAGTCCGTGTGGGTGTCAATAGCGGCCCCATCCTCGTGCAGCTGCCCCGGATTTTGCCAATCTACCTAGGTAGATTCTCACACCTTCACGACTTCTTTCAATTTCTCACCCCCTTGAGCCATCTGGCCTGTCAACCAAACCCACACCATGGCCGTCAAGTGAATTGATTCGACAATGCGCACTTCACGGATCTCAAAAGATACGGCCAAGCTCCTCAGGCGCGCCGCAGATTCCCCCTCGCCACCGCGACGCACGACGCGATCCTCCCTCGCCCGCTTCGCCCTCAATGCGGCCTCTTCGAGCGCGACGACGAGCGTGAATGGCGCCGGTTCGCAGATACCCGACATCGAAGACAGTGCCAGCCCGCCGCCATGGAAGCGAAGGAGAGGCTCCGATGCCTCGTTCTCCGCCGAAATGGCCAAGGCCGAGTTCGACGAGGACGACGACAACAAGCTCGACGCCATGGCTGCGGCCCCCTCGAGGAGCTCAACCCGCCGTGCTGCCGCTGCTCCTGCTCGCGCTCGCAAGCCCGCGCGCAAAGTCGCGGATCCCGCAACCGGCGAAACGGTCATCTCGCCGCCGTCCGACTGGGAAGAGATGTACGACGTGGTGAGGAAGATGCGCGCCCCCGGCGGCGTGGCTTACGGGGCGGCCGTAGACACCATGGGCTGCGAACGCCTAGCCGATCCGAACGCCTCGCCAAAGGACCAGAGGCTGCACTCGCTGATTGCGCTGATGCTGTCCAGTCAGACCAAGGACACGGTCACGGCAGTGGTGATGCGGAGGCTACAGGCGGAACTGCCGGCATGCAAGCCGGGTGCCCCGGTGGGCTTGAACCTGGACAATCTGTTGGCGGTGGATGCGAACCTGCTCAATCAGATGATTTGGGCGGTTGGCTTCCACAATAATAAGACCAAGTTTGTCCACCTTTCCCCCCCTCTCCTTGTGCATCTACATACGTGGGGCCACGTGGATGGCTAACCGTTGTTGTCTCTTTCTCTACGCAGGTACATCAAAAGAGCCGCCGAGATCCTCCGCGACGAATGGAACGGCGACATCCCCGACACCGTGGAGGGCCTCACGTCGCTGCCCGGCGTAGGCCCCAAGATGGCCTACCTCTGCCTGTCGGTGGCCTGGAACCGCACCGAGGGCATCGGCGTCGATGTGCACGTCCACCGCATCACCAACATGTGGGGTTGGAACAAGACCAAGAACCCGGAGGAGACGCGCCTGGCCCTGCAGTCATGGCTGCCGCGGGACCGCTGGCGCGAGATCAACGGCCTGCTGGTGGGCTTGGGGCAGAGTGTGTGTCTCCCCGTGGGACGGCGGTGCGGCGAGTGCGATTTGGGGCTGCAGGGGCTTTGCAAGGCGGCGGAGAGGAAGAAGGTGCTCGAGGGGAGGAGAGTCAAGACGGAGGTGGTTAAGGAGGAGGTGTCCAAGGGGGAGGGGGCCGAGGGGAAGACGACGATCAAGACGATCAAGGAGGAGACGGTCAAGGTTGAACAGGAAGACCTACCTGGAGTGAGCGGTGGGAGCACAGCGGTCAAGGTTGAAGCCATCGTCAAGGAGGAAGTGAAAGTCAAGCAAGAGCAGGACGACTAAGATGACGAGCCCCCCGTCGTATAGGCGGCAAACACATGGCGCCCGCAGATCAATCACCAACCATCCGTGGAGTGTTTTTTTGCGGTCTGCTGCCACGTAGCACAACAACCACATGTAAGCGCATTACTGGCCTTTTCCTCCTCATGTCTGCTTCTTAGTTTCTTGCAGCAATCTCATTTGGGGTGAATAGAGAGACAATTTGTATGATATAGCGTTCTGAGCTGTACGAAGTAATAGATTAGATAGACAGCGCACCGCAACAACACATCGGACTATATTGTCTTACAAAAATGTGCGGTTCGTGTATGCGATGATGGGATGCACTGCCCAGTCGGATGGCAGTCACTCACTAATTCTCTCTGCATCTTGGCATGTGAGAGAGTGTGTGTGTGTGTGTTTGTTATGCTGGCTTATCTCGCCCATACGTGACAACCCCGTACACATCGCTTTGACGGAGGGGGGAAAAGACAGGGGATCCGTCACAATGCACTTTTTGACAAACTTCGGTCCGCAGCTACATAGTACACTGTAGATGAAGAGCAAACCACGTCAATGCTGATGCCCTTTTTATTGCTTTTTTGCTCTCCATCTTTCGGGGGTCAGTCGGAGGTTGGGCGGGCAAGCAGCCGAAATCACCAGCCCCGCCGAAAGTTGGCAACATACGATAAAAGTACAATCAACGACATTGGACATGGGGTGGTGGAAGAGGTTGACTTTTTTTGCTTTTTGATTTTGAATTGCTGATGATCATGCGGATGCCCAAGTCAAGTCAGTCTGACGAATGTGTTATTGATGATGACAAGATGGGGGTGGCCCTCCCATTGCCGAGCGCCGGGCGACAAAGAGAGGGATATGCGCCACCTCACGAGCCTCTTGCGTCTTCCGGATGCCGCATCACGGCATTTACCGGCGATCTGCCTGGGGGGAACGCCGAAATGCTCAAGATACGGTCAAAGCACACACGGTTTTGTGATTTTATGATGTTTGATATTCTTTCTCTGTTATTGCGGGTAGATGAAAGTTAAAATGACGAGAAATAGCTTCATGTGTAAATCAACAACCGGCTCCCAAATGGTTTCCCCTAGAAGATATGTACCCCAATACTCCGTTGCGATAAGACTGTTTCGACTGGAAACAGTTGAAATGGAAGCATGAAAAGTAATGGAACTCGCAGTATACACAAAAAAACATGGAGAGGGCGCTGATTAAAGCAACCCGTCTCCTCTGCTGGGGTTGATTTCCTCCTCTTGAAAGCGAGGCCGATCTCCCGGGTGCGTAACCCCGATTTCGCCTCCCCCCTTACTCCGAAGAGTGTGTAAGAGATTGATTTGTTTGTTTTAATTCATGTAGTCATGATATGTGAAGTATTCGAATCACGCCCGCGGACGTAAATTCATGATGGTGAAGGAGAATGGCGAAGTATAGGCGATGCGGTAATTAGAGCGGTCCGGGGGGGTTGGTGTTGGACGATGGCTATCGGGGGGGCGAGGAGGAGGTTGCAAGGATGTGGCGGCCTGATGGTGGTTTAGACGCCGCGGATGACCTGGGTCCGCTCCGCCTCCAGCTGGGCAGCGTTGCGCGCGTGGGACTGCTTCTTGCACTGCAGATCGACGTTTAGCAGCTGGAAACAAGGGAAAACGACGTGGCAGGGAGAGAGAGAGACCGAAGTGGCCTGAGGTGCGTGCGATGGGATTCACGGGGGAAGGGGAGGGGGGAAACGCAGATGAAACGTACGTCTTCCAAGCCACTGCACTTGTGATCCTCCAACAGACGGTGCTTTCCGCAGAAGTGGCCGTTGCAAAAGGTGCAGTCGCCGACGATGCGTTGAGCAGGCTCTCGGCACTCCTTGGCGGTGCAGCGGAGCTTCTTAGGCATGATGGGCGAGAAGTTGAGAGATAGAGAGAGAGAGAGAGAGAAGAAGAGGCGACGATGTGAGGAGTTGGGCGGCAGCGGTGACGGCTCTTTGTCGTGTGACGCCTTTGTTACTCGCAACGAGTGGTGAGGTTGTTCCTTGGTCCAAGTATGAGGGCGAAAGGGGGGGGAAGAGAAGGCTGGAATGGAACCGGACGCCCGTCGGGATATAAATACTTTCCAAAGAGACGAAAGGAAAGGGCGAAAAAGGAACGCAAGAGACTTGGTTTATTCGCTGACGGAAACGACGCAAGGAAAACCTGGGGGGCCTTTTTGAGTCAGCAAACGCTGCGCCGAACGGCGGCGACGGCGCGAGGCTTTATATGCCAATCCCGAGGCGAACGGCGAACGAAACGCAACGACCAACGCCCCCAAGACCAGACCATGGCAAGACATGGACCCCCAATACGTGACTTGTATGTACATTGGGAGTGCGTGGAGTGTGAGGGAGGCAGCGGGACTTGGACGGGGGGGCGTGTGGTTTTTGGCCCATTTTGCCTCCCTCCCCCCTCCGGGTCTTTGTAAACGCACACACCCCTTGGGTTTTTCGTACGAGTTTACTAAGGGCTGGAGCTGGGGGATGGGAATTCGATGGCTTTTTGGGCGCTATCTGGGACCAGCTTCAAGTCCGTCCTTCCCTTTAGACGGGACGAGAAGGCGGTGGAATCTGGCTGAGGGGGGGCGTGGGCGGGCGTCTTGGTACAAGATAGTACCGGCGAAAGGGCTGGAGGTTTGGTAATGAACGGGCGTTTTGTAATACATACGCTGTTGTTGCTTAAATGCCGAATTCTACAGCCTTCCATCTATTCTCCGCCTCTATCTGATACTGTACTGTGTTACAGTACTTTCGACATCTCCGTGATCGCCTCTCCGTGTCTCTCTCCTCGGTATGTGAAAGGTAGTCAAAGGAATTGGGCTTCTTGCTGGGTAGAGCAGAGACCGCCTCAGCTGGCAGAATCAACTGATCAGTTTGGCACCCAAAAGAGGGCGGCCGGGGGGTTGGACGGTGGCGGGTCCCCGGAAAGAGGAGAGAGCAGCAGCTGAACAGGTTACGTGGGAGTGTACATTTGCGTTTACCAGGGCTGCCGGTACACGTGTGAATCGACTTATCGGCGCGTGTACGACTACCTGGCTCTCCAATTGGTACTCAATAAGGTATGGCAAGTCGATACCTTAATGCTCGAGCGTCAAGCAGAGATGGAGAGAGCGAGATACGAACCTCGTCAGTCAGCCATCAGTCCATTTTCCAACCAGGAGCCCGCACTGACTTCGGGATGCTCGCACCGGCTGGCAATGTGACCCCCCGGCACGGATACGACAGTTTCAATGTATACCCCAAGTATATAAGGTAGTTCGTACCACCAGCCTCTTTCGGGGTGTTTTGCTCTGCTTTGCTTTGCTCTGCTTTTTGCTCACTGTGCTGCTGTGCTGCGCTCAAAACGCCACTGCCGGGGAAGCGATTCGGGCGATGCAGGACTTGACCGAGCAAGGGGGACTATACCGTACGGGGTATCCGTACGTCTTTTGCGCCTGATGAGGCTGGTTCTTCAAGTTCGCAGTGCATCTCCGAAAGCGGCAGTGACGTCGTACTCGCAAGATACTTGTGCGGCCTGGTGGCTTTTTTTGGCGGCGCTTGTCAAACGACAGATTCGAGAGCCGCGGGTTTGAACACTGAGAAAATCCGGGCGAATCGATTGAGAGGAGATTGGTTTTGACAGGCGGAAAGGCAAAAAAAGTTCTTGGGGGTTGATACCACCAATGTCAAGGTGTTGATTGGCGCTTGACGAGGCCACAGCAGGATGCAGTGCAAGCCGCGCTATTGAACGACTGGGAAAAGGGCTCCAATCGCTGGCTTGTCAAGGCGCTTTCGTCTTGCTTGGGCTGTTGCTGTAACAAGGTAGATAGAGAGGGATTGTTGGGTGCGACGTACAGTTTCGACGGCGCAAATCGCAAGAGTTGGGCATCTCTCTCGCCTCCTCTTGGGTCGCCATGATGCCCATCTCATCGCTTATTGATCTATCGCAACCTGTCATGAGCCATGGAGCGTCGAGTCTGATCACGGCTGCCCTCCAGATTCCCCATGGCCAGCGAACAACACACGCATCGACAATCAACCGGCGGCATCAAATCACAGTCACACATCGACCCCCAGCTCAAAAGCTAGCATCATGAATAGTCACCACGGCTAGCGAACACGTATCGGTGGACACCCCCTGATGCCTGCCCATGCCAATGCGAATGAGTGCCGTGTCATGTACATGTATGTACTACTACTAGTACGAGTACTACTAACCCAACGACGCTTTGGATGGGCTCCGTTCTCGATACATCGTGGGGAACTTCAATATGCGCGGCTGGCGTCCTTTTTTTTAGGCTGCCCACCCCAGACCGGACGCATCACAATCGCAATCGCATCGTATCGCCCGTCGTTCCCTCTATCCTGGTCCCGTTTGGGTTGCCGTACGTGATTAAAACCGGCCGATTCTTGCATCACGGCGACCCTCCTTCTTTCGCCCCGTGCATGGACTGCAGCCGTGACACGCACCACGCAAACCCGCAACCAGGGAGCCAATATAATGCTCCGTAGCGACTGTTGCAAGCGATTTGATTATTCCCCATCAGGCCGTTTTTCCCTGCATGCGCGAGGCTCCACGGCCTGGCTGCGTTGGAGGTGGTGTGTCAAGGGGAGGAAACAGAAAAAGGCCAAGATGGTCGCGTGTCGTGCCACTCAGAGCCACTGCAGTTCTTCTTCCAGAGTACAAAAGTACAGGTACGGCGAATGCAACCACCAACGATGCCACAGCAGATCCATTATCATGACCTGCCAGCCGGCAATTGAAGCTCTGCATGTCCCCATAGACTACTACTACTAGTAACACCTTACTCTCACCTCCTCACCTCTTTTCCAGCCGCCCAGGATTCATTTCGCCTGGTGCATGTTGTGTTCCTTGTGGCTGGGCTTGGCTGGGTTCGTTCCAAAACACCGGCTGAGGCTAGACCTCGCCGCTTCCAGACAAACATGCCAAGTTGACACACTGCGCTTTGCCAATGCGCACAAGCGCCCTGGACCTGGCCAAACGGCTGAGGAGTCGCGCGCTCACGATAATGCATCGTGCCCTTTTTCAACCTACTAGCGAGTCGTATCGTATTTCATTGATACAGTCAGCGTGCTTCCCATCTCGCTACTACATACTAGCCTCGAGATACGAGAACGACGAAGTGGTCACACTTCTCTCCCAAAGGGACCGGCGATAGTAGAACAAGCGCACCCCAGTACCTGTTACATCGACGGCCAATTCTCCGTGCCCATGGCGAGCATGTACCCCGTACTCCTTCTCCATCCTCCGGTCCGTCCTCATACGAGCCCTGCCCACCGCGGTGGAGCTGCCCGGCTGTGACGTAGCGGCCCTGCGATCCCTGGCCAAGCTCCAGGCTGACAAGCTGACGACTCCAAAGTTCCAGTTGCGGGCTCGGTCCCGTAGGCCTGCGTCTGCAGGGTGCGTGTGGTCGTCTTTGCCCTGACAAAGGGTCTTGATGCTCCCTGCAGACCCTGCCATAACCTACTACCATTACTTGTAGCAACACAGAGTGGGAAGTGCTGCCAACAGCATCCCAAAGTTTCATCCAAGGCAACAGGATGCGAACAATATCTTCATGAAGCCATCGCAAATTAGGGCGTGGCCAACCAATCAGCAGGCGGGACACGCTTGATAAGGACTGGAGTCCCGGGCAGACTCACGTGTTTCCGGCGAGGTTAGCCCGTGCGCTTCTTCCGTGACCGGCGTGACGAGCTCAACGGCTTCTTCAACCTCATCACAACCTACCCTGTAATCATGGCAAACCTCATGCACCCCAGTGAGAACAGGTACTCTTTGTCGCTGTATCTCGGTTCAGTTTTCACAGAACTCGATCCTCGATTTTCCTTTCTGTAAAGGGTTGTCATACAGTAGACGTTTGATTTGTGAACCATGCGCTTAGTAATAGCATGTTCGCACGTTCCGCGTTTGTCGATCTTTGCCATACCTTTTGCTCCAGTCGCGCAACTTCGAGGCTTTGTCAACGCCTCAATCTCACAGCCTCGTCTTCACTTTCCTCCCAGAAGAAGCACCAGAATGCTCATATCGTGGCGTGCCTTGTAGCTAACATAGTTTACACCCCACAAGTTCTTGGACTACTCGCCTCGCGAATCAATTTGACACAGACGAGACGCTCTTCACCGACATCGCTTACACAGTGGGCTTACAATCGACACCGGAGGAGCCTGCCGAGAGGAAAACTTCTGCCGCGACAATATCTTGGAAAAAACGACTGTACGCTTTGATCTGTTGCCGCGGTGGCAAACGCGTAGCTAGCAGATTCATTCCTGCTGACAGTGCATTCGGGAAGAAACTCCACCCTTCTTCTCGCCATCCATCAAATCTCTTCCGATCAGAGAACGCCGGGCTACGACCAAACTTTCGCCGTCTCCGTCTCCGAAATCCCTCCGGAGGCCCTCCGGCGCCACCGTCCGTATCGTATTTTTTTCAGCCCCGTCGATAACAAGTGCTGCTAATTTCCTTGTTCCTCAAGTTCCTCTTACCAAATCATTTACCACCCAGAGTGATGCTGTATCGTAGATTAGAAGACCATCCGCTGGGGCGTCCCTGTTTCTTTTCCCTGCAATGTCGTCACCACTAATTTTGCTGCCTGCGTCAAGTCTATGTCACTGGAGGCAAGCTACGGACGTTTGAACCTGCTTTTCCCGACGAAACTGTCTCCAAGTTGTTAATTTGGAAATCAGAGGCTAAATAACCTGGCTTCCTTGCTGCTTTGCTCATGTTGTATTGATGAGCTGGATCCTGGTATGTGTGCATACCAAATATCCGGCAAGAAATGCTGAGTAGGACGATAGACACTTCTGGCTGATGTAGCGAAATTAGGCTTGCTCGAAATCGTAGGCAATTTGATGAAGATGGGAAAAAGGATTCAAGAAAAAAAAAAGGAAGAGAAATTAAGAAAGAAAATAAAAGCCAAGAAGAGCTTGGGCGAAAAAAGAAGTGAGATGCAAAGTCGCCAAAAAGGTCAAAAAATGTGCCCCTGCCAGGAATCGAACCTGGATCTACAGTGAATCGTGTGATCCACAAACTGTTGTACTGACCGTTATACTACAGAAGCTTGTTCTTATTTGATGCTAATCAGGCTGTTAGAATTAGACTATATCCTTTTGCCTTCCATTGCAAGGGCAACAAATTGACAGCCATTTGTCTTTGCATCATTCTCCTCAAGCTGTTTCATCTGCTCCACCAATACGGAGTAGTGAAAGAAGCCATCAAGGTGCGGATTGGATTCAAATAAGGCAACTACTTGTCTTGGTATTCCGTCCACCTTTTCTTTCATCCTAACTTTTCTTGCTCCCAAGTTTCGTGTCATCAATTTACTACTATTTTACAAATTTGACCTGAGTTTCAATACAGATTTCCGAGGCTCAGACCCACGGATTCACAGCTTCCGCATGTCAACAACAGCGCGGATGCAATCTCCCTGCTTCATCGTCTCAAATGCGCTGTTAATCTCGCCAAGGGTCTTGCGGTGCGTGATGAACTCTTCAACCTTGAGAGCTCCATTCATGTAGTCGCTAACGAGCCCGGGCAGCTGCGAGCGTCCCTTGATACCGCCAAAAGCGCAGCCCTTCCAGACACGGCCGGTGACGAGTTGGAATGCTACCGAGTATGACATTAGCCCACGACTCACGTCACGAAGAATTCAAAGGCGCCATATAACTCACGTCGAGTGGAAATCTCCTGGCCAGCAGCAGCGACGCCGATAATGATGCTCTGTCCCCATCCCTTGTGGCAGGCTTCCAGAGCTGCGCGCATCACCTGAACATTGCCAGTGCAGTCAAAGGTGTAGTCGCAGCCACCATCCGTCATCTCAATCAGCTTCTCGACAATGGTCTGTCCCTTGAGCTCGCTGGGATTCACAAAGTCGGTGGCGCCAAACTTCTTGGCCCACTCCTCCTTGGCCGGGTTGACGTCCACCACGATGATCTTTCCGGCCTTCTGGACAACGGCTCCCTGAACGACCGACAAGCCGACGCATCCAGCGCCAAAGATGGCAACGTTGGAGCCCTCCTCGACGTTGGCGGTGACGCGGGCCGCGCCGTAGCCGGTGGTGATGCCGCAGCCAAGCAGACAAGTCCGGTCCATGGGGGCCTCGGGCTGCACAGCTACGACGGAGATGTCGGCCAGGACGGTGTACTGAGAGAAGGTCGACGTTCCCATGAAATGAAGGATATCCTTGCCCTTGCACTTGAATCGGGAGGTGCCATCAGGCATGACGCCCTTGCCCTGGGTGGCTCGGATCTTACCGCAAAGGTTTGTCTTTCCAGATTTGCAGAACTTGCACTCCTTGCACTCGGGTGTGCTGCATGCTGTCAGCCTTGATTTCGAAGCACGCCTTACCGCTGAATCACTGGAGAGACATACTAAAGAGCAACGACGTGGTCGCCGGGCTTGACGTTGGTGACGCCCTCGCCGACGGACTCAACAATACCAGCTCCCTCGTGTCCCAGGATGACGGGGAAATCTCCCTCGGGGTCCTTGCCGGAGAGGGTGTAGGCATCTGCAGCTGTCAGTCTCCCGTCTCTTCTCGTCTCCCTCCCTCTTCACCACCATCTGCAACCTACCAGTGTGGCAGACTCCCGTGTAGTAAATCTGCACGCGGACCTCGTGAGCCTTGGGAGGAGCAACCTCGACGTCCTCAATGCTCAGCTCCTTGCCAGCCTCCCAGGCAACGGCAGCCTTGCAGGTGATGGTCTGCTCTCTCATTCATCAGCTACCGTAATCTCTAGGCGGGGTGGCTGCTCCTTGGAGGGGCAGTTCCATCATTTATTGTCCAGCGGTCTCTGCTCACCTTGCCAGCAGTCTCGGCCATTATGTTGTTAGTCAGAATGTTGATATGCAGCAGAATAATTTGCAGCTTCTCGATGCGACGCAGGGAAAAAAAGAAGCTCAGGTCTGGAATGGAGCTACTCCGTCCTTATTTATTCACAAGCAGAAGCAGTTCCAGTCATTTCCTCAGCTTCCCGATCCCCCGAGAAATCGATAACATGAGCTACCCCGCTGTGGTGCAGTGGGTGGGGTTGTCGAAACAGTGCAGCTTTTACTTTGGCTACTTACGCGCAGCCGAGCTTCTCGAGGCGAAGCACTTTACCCGTCGACGAATGAGCAGCTCTGGGCGAGGATTGATGTTCACGAGTGTTGCTTTGCTTCCGGCTCCTTGACCGGCTGGCTGTATGTGAGAATGACATGTCTACAGATCCGTGCTCTCCGTGTTGAATGACAAGCAGGGCCGCCTGCTCCAAAAGCGGCTATAAGAATGGCCGACTTGATGTCAGTGAAACCACGCCCGTCACAAGGGAATGAATTGGCGAAGAGAAAATTGTGCTGAAGTCCGAAAAATCTCCTGGGCATGCTGAGTTGATTTACAATTAATACTCATAACTGGGTGCATCAAGCCATGGAAGTTGTCAAGCATTGTGAGATGAGCTGAGACACTTGCCAGTAGAACCGTGTCGAACAATATTAGACCTGGTGAAGCTACGTCATCAACTCTATGCTAGCACTCATGCAACCACTGAAGAGCACTCATATTGGAAAAAAGAAAGAAATTAATTGTCCATGCAATGTAAAGTAGATCAACACATGAACGTTTGAATGAATTCACTTCATGTCGGCCATTCAGTCCCAGGATCAGGGCATGCCCTGAGGTCCTTGAAATGCAGCTCAACTGCAGCTCACCGAGCGCTCTTTGAGTCCTAGGGTGAGCTCGGTGAGCTCCGGCTAAATACCGGAACTTGGCGCGTTGCAGCTTCAAAAAATACATCCATCCAATTCAGACGCGTGCCAGGGCAAATGAATACAGAGCACAATTTCCATTCACAAACAACCGTCGAGCCCATCGCCCACTTCCTCTCCTCGACTTGCACAGCGAGCGAACTACCCATCGAACGAATACGGACTACGACCCGCACACATGAAGAAGTGATCCGTTGGCGCTTCTCGTACGACGATTCCGCCGGGGCAGCGACCAGGCAAACACTTGATTGCTTCTCGCCATGGCTCACAGATTCATTGTCGACTCCAGCCCGCTCAAAGAGGCGCCATCGACTCCCGACAGGCGGCGTACCAACGACCTCGCTTTCTCGCGGTATGAAGAAAGCCCGACGGGCACTTCTGTAGATGCTCCCCCGTCTTCGCAATTCGGGAGCCCGGCGATGCAGTTTGACCCGCCGCGACCCCCCGAATTTGGGCTCAGCACCACCTCGAGCGCCGGCAGAGGGGGACTGTTTGGGTCATCACGCAATCCTGGTGCTCCTCTCGGTCGGCCCATCGGAGGGAGAGCTCCCTCTGGTCTGAGTAGACAGCTTCGCGCAGACAAGAACGACGACAAGGAGGATGGTCTGGACGAGGACTTGGACGACGACAACGAGCTTCCTCCCCTGCGAGGGAACTTGTTTCGGCGGCCGTCTCAGAGAAAGGAAGACCTCACCACGGACGACATGGAGGCCGAGATGGAGCGCTATCTGGACGAGGAGATGCAAGGAGGTGCGGAGCAGGACGCTGAAGACTCCGACACGGGCGACATTTTCCTGAATATGCGACACGACGATCGCGCCTACGGCCAACCCATCATTGGCGAGGAATCGGATCTGATGATGCTGCAGACCCCAGCGGCAACGGCCAAAGTGCGCAAGGAAGCGGAGAGCATATTCAGTCAGTCGACTCGCTTCAGAGGCCCCGGAAGAAACCGCGAGCTTCAGTTTGGCACCATTGCCAAGGACATTTATACCCATCAAGAGCCTGCTAGACTCACGGAGAAGCCAGAGCTGATCCTCAAGACGGAAAATTTGGTCTGCCAGCTCTACAACGATGGTGTTGGCGCTCATGACGACCCGGAAAGACTGGAAAACTCGCTTGCGGACATCACTTACAAGCTGATACGGGTTTGGACAGACTACGTAGAGGAGCTGCCTCCTCCAGAGGGCGAAGATCTGGCCACCATTGGCCCCGGAGAGGACGCGGATCCGTTCGAAAAGGCAGCATACGTTGCGCACTTGATTCTTCGCATGCACCACACGCGGTTTGACACGAAGCCCGAGGATGAACGGACGCCGCCTTTGCCCGAGATCCTCTTCGACTGGATGCAGTCCAGCCACAACCTGTATCCTGACCAGGTCCGAGAAATTTCCAGATATAAGCCGAGCCCGGCATGTCACAGCCTGTACTGGCAGACGTTGAGAAATGCGCTGCTGCGTGGTGATGTAAACGGAGCGAAGCAACTTCTGAAGAATGCTGGCTGGGAGCATGTCCGCCGTGGACCGATGGGAGGCCCGACATACACCGGCAAGGCCCTCGAAAACGTACGAAGGTTTGCAGAGGCGACGTGCGAGATGCTCGACCAGTGCCCCGGGGCTCGAAACGACTGGGATATCCAAAGTAGTAGCTGGACCCTGTTCCGAGTCCAGGCTCGGGGCTCCCTGGACAGACTCACACTGTTTGCCGAAGGCAAAGACACGAGCCTCCTCGACTCTCTCAGCAGCGAGGTGGACATGACCATATCGGCAATGGCCAGGAAGGCGTCGAGCCAGATTCCCTGGGACATTTACGAAAACCTGCAGACCGTGTACGACATTGTGCTGGGACAGACCGAAGCCATCCTGGAGACGGCGCAGGACTGGTGCGAGGCGACAATCGGTCTCTTTGGCTGGTGGGACGAAGGCGTTCAACGCCCCAAGAGCCTGATGCAGTCCCAGTTCGGCGCGTCGCCAGGCAGCTTCACGGACTCTGAGGACTATTTCGATCGGCTTGCGAACGTGTTCAACATTGTGATCCAGTCCGGGCTGAGTCCCAACACGATGAACCCCGTCGAGGTTGCCCTTGCATCTGCCTTTGAAGGCAACGTCTATGCCGTCATCGGATGCCTGAGGACCTGGTCTCTCCCTGTGGCCTGCGCAGTAGCCGAGATTGCTTCGCTGGGCGGATGGCTTCCTCCGCCAGAGTCTGTGAAGCCGATGCCGGCCGACAGTCTGGATATGGACGATTTGATGCTCCTTGGAGTAGAACAGCCCAACACCGACGACCTGGAGGGGATCAAGGACACGACCCTTGTCATCTACGCGAGAGAGCTGGCAGGCATTGAACACTTGTCGCCGCAGCGAGACGGCTGGGAGATGGCCATTCAAGTGCTGGGGCGGATGGACGCGGCGGAAAAGTCAGAGGAGACGGTTGGCGAACTGTTGAGAGATCTCCTGGCTACGCTGGACGAGACATCGAGCACAACAGTGGACAAGATGTGGAGGATCTTGAGCGACCTGGGGATGATGAATTATGCGGAAGAGACTGCCGAGGTGAGTCAACGTCCCCCCTTTTGTGATTTCTTCTCGACCAAACAGTGAGCTAACTGCCTGTAATAGACATTCGCAGAAATCCTGGCCGAGAAGACTCACCGATATGGCGAAGCGATCTGGTATTTTGCGCTTTCTCACCGTACGGACCGGGTCCGCGAGGTTCTGAATCTTCTCATGTCCTATTCACTCATGCAGTCAACGGTATACCCTGCTGAAAAGGACCTCGACGAAGACCTCAAAAGCATGCTCCGGAACCGATCAGAGACACTGGAGGAACGGGCCAAGGTTGATCTGGAAGCTGCCCAGCTGTTGGGCCGGATGCTCAGTGGCTACGCGACCCTGCGCAAGTTTTACGAAATTCGAGACGAAATCGGAAAGATTGAGGAGACATCGCCGTCCCGAGCTCTTTCCATGAGGAAGCAGGCTGCGTTCGCGCTGGTGGCTGTCATCTCTAGTTCGGGCGACAACATCCGTGGCGGGCTTTACGATGAGTCGAGGGACGCTGTGGTGAGCGAGGACTTTTTGCTGGCTCTGCTCGGCGAAGCAACCGTCTTCATCAACCAGACGCCCCCAGTCATTTCCCTCGAACAGCTCGACATTCTTCTCAAGGCCGTTGAGGATATTCAGGCGGTCGGATCTCGCGTGTACTCCACCTGCGAAGAGTTCTTCACCCTAGTGCTCGCCTCGGGACAGGGTCTCAAGGGATCTACGCCGGCGGATCTCATGAAGTCGACGGGTAGCCTTGGCGGCAGCACATACATGATGAGCGGCAGCTCGCTGTTAGCCAGCCACATGCAGAAGTCGCTCACGGGCGGAGTCGGCAAGGTGACTAGGGGATGGGATTGGAGGAAAGGCTGGTTGGCGAATACCAAGGGTGAGGACGTGATCCGAAAGCTGAGGCTGGGTCTGGCCAAGGACCTGGCGGCGCTCTGGCTGGACGACGCCGATGGAGTTGCCATTTACTAGAGGACAATGATAGAAAAAGAAGCTGGAGGATCTGCTTGATGGGATTTGGGCCGAGGCAAGGGAAACAGGTTGGCAGATCGGGTGAGATACCTATATAATAGTACGAAGGGGGACGATATCTTGAGGCATTGCGTTTGATGCAGGAATCTTGCCAGAGGCGACCACGAAAGACGTTTATGAGCATGAGCATGAGCAGCCATCTATTGGTGCAGGACTTGGTGCCCCATAGTGTATTCATTCAGTCATCGAGCAATCGTGGAGTCTGCTGAAAGTGTCAAATTTAGTGCGATCTAGCGACGATGTTAGCCGTGGGCCGCTTTTGGGCCGGTCTCCAATCCGATATCGCGGATTGAAAAGCGAGGCAAACTCCACCAAGCCTTTTTTTTCCCGTCCTTGTTCGGGAATGAATCACGAGCGCAAAGCAGCGACTGCGTCAACATGGCCCCAATTGAACTGGCAGGCCGTTCCGGAGGCGCCATGACGGTGAGTTTGGACATGCGAATCTGGCTTTGGTGTGATTGATACTTGATATCAAGAGCAAAAGTTGACCCTGCAGTTATCGCAGAGCCTCTTGCGACGAGCTTCATCCCGCTCCGCGGCCGGAGCCCTGAACCGCGCCCTGCGAACCCCGTCATCGAATCGATTCTCGACCGTCTCGTCCCTGCCGCCGACGTACGAGAAGCTGCTGACGCGCTACACGGATGTGCGCCGCGTGCTGGGCCGGCAGCGGCTGACGCTGGCCGAGAAGATCCTCTACAGCCACCTGGACAACGTCGAGGAGTCGCTGTTGACCAACACGGACGGCGGGCGCAGCATCCGCGGCAAGGCGAACCTGCTGCTCAAGCCGGACCGCGTCAACATGCAGGACGCCTCGGCCCAGATGGCGCTGCTGCAGTTCATGTCGTGCAAGCTGGAGCGGCCCGCGATCCCGGCCAGCATCCACTGCGACCACCTGATCGTGGGCTCGCGGGGCGCCGAGGACGACCTGGCGGCGGGCATCCAGACTAACAAGGAGATCTTTGACTTCCTCGAGTCGGCGGCGCGCAAGTTCGGCATGGACTTTTGGCCGCCCGGCGCGGGCATCATTCACCAGACGGTGCTGGAGAACTACGCGCTGCCGGGCCTGATGATGCTGGGCACCGACAGCCACAGCCCCAACGCCGGCGGCCTGTGCACCGTCACCATCGGCGTGGGCGGCGCCGACGCCGTCGAGGCGCTTGTCGGCGCGCCGTGGGAGCTCAAGGCACCCAAGGTGCTGGGCGTCCAGCTGACGGGCAAGCTCGGCGACTGGGTGGCCCCCAAGGACGTCATCCTGAAGCTGGCGGGCGAGCTGACGGTCCGCGGCGGCACGGGGTCCATCATCGAGTACTTTGGCCCCGGCGTCGACACGCTGAGCGCCACGGGCATGGCCACCATCTGCAACATGGGCGCCGAGGTGGGCGCGACGACGTCCATCTTCCCCTACACCGAGGCGTCGGCGCGCTACCTGCAGTCGACCCGCCGCGGCCAGGCCGTCGACAACATCAAGGCCCTGCAGAGCTTCGCCGGCAACAGCACGTCCGAGGACGCCCGCTTCCAGTTCAAGGCCGACGAGGGCGCCGAGTACGACCAGCTTATCACCATCAACCTGTCGGAGCTGGAGCCGCACGTCAACGGGCCCTTCACGCCGGATCTGGCGACGCCGCTGTCCAAGTTCAAGGACGTCGTCAGGGACCAGCAGTGGCCCGAGAAGCTGTCGGCCGGCCTCATCGGCAGCTGCACCAACAGCTCGTACGAGGA